GGCTATATTTACAGTACCACACATGAGTTTCCTGCCATTGAGTAGGCTTTAAGTTCAATCATGTAGCTGTTGATTACCCCCAAGACAGAAGAGCCTCTACTGCACCAATGTCATTTTCTGTGCTGGTCATTGGTGTGGTTTTTAGGCCTTAAACCTGGGGTTGGAACATCTATTGATATTCTCCCTTAACAACTTGCATAGTGCTCTCTAAAACTATGAGAGTTAGTCTTCAGAGGAGGTCAGTTCCAGGTCGATTGCTCCAAATCCTGTGTCTGAAGTATATCTTGTCTTCAGCAATAGGGTCTTACCTTCAAGTTCTCAGAGGCAACCAAGGACTGTGGCAATACCCTGTGTAATTTTGGAAGTTTCTTGGACTACCCTGGCCAACAACTCGAAGGGCATTTTCTCCTGTCTAGCACTGTTTCTTGTTAAACAGCCTTCAGCTATATACATGAACTCATGTAGAGGTACCGCATGTATAATTTTTCAGTACATTTTTGAACTAATACAATTCCCTCTGGTTTTTTTTTGAGGGGGGAGGTGTTTTTGGGGTGGGGGTTTCCCCTTCTGCTGGCTTTTTATTTTATACCAGCTAGGCATTATTTATTTTTCCTCTCTCTCTCTCTCTCTCTCTCCCCCATGTCTAATCCTCCTCCTCCACACCCTCTCAGTTAAAGTATGACATTATTCCCATTTCTCCCTTGATAATACCTTGATAATACCTCTCTCTCTCTCTCTCTCTCTCTCTCTCTCTCTCTCTCTTTGGTGTTTTTGAGACAGGGTCTCCCTGTATTCCCAGCTGACCTGGAACTTTCTATGTAGACCAGGCTGGCCTCGAACTCACAGAGATCCACCTGCTTCTGCCTCCCAAGTGCTGGGATTAAAGGCATGCACCACCATGCCCGCTTTTTAAAAAAAATATTTTATTTATTATTTTTATTTTCTGTGTATGTGTGTATTGCCTGCATGCAGGTAAGTGCACCTGTTTTGTGCAATGCCCTCGGAAGACAGAAGAGGCTGTCGGATCCCCTGGAAATGGAGTTAAGGACAGTTGTTAGCTGCCATGTGGGTGCTGGGTTCGAACCTGGGTCTTCTGCAAGAACAGTCAGTGTTCTTAACTACTGAGCCATCTCTCCAGCTGAGTCCCCCATCTCTTGAGTGCCTTCTCCTTTACCCCCACCCCTGGAAATGGAGTTAAGGACAGTTGTTAGCTGCCATGTGGGTGCTGGGTTCGAACCTAGGTCTTCTGCAAGAACAGTCAGTGTTCTTAACTACTGAGCCGTCTCTCCAGCTGAGTCCCCCATCTCTTGAGTGCCTTCTCCTTTACCCCCGTAGATACTTTTATTTATTTATTTATTTTTGTCTTTTTGAGACAGGGTCTCCCTGTAGCCCCAGCTGGCCTGGAACTCACTATGTAGACCAGGCTGTCATCAAACTCACAGAGATCTGCCTGCTTCTGCCTTCCGAGTGCTGGAACTACAGGTGTGCACCACCACGCCTGGCAATAAAATATTTTTAAAAAATGTGATGCTGCTGTGTGTGGTGATGGGTGCCTTTAATCCCAGCACTTGGAGGCAGAGGCAGGCAGCTCTCTCTGAAATCAAGGCCAGCCTGATCTAACAGTGAGTTCCAGGCCAGCTGGGGCTACAGGGAGACCCTCTCTCAAAAGACAATAAAAAAAAATGTGTTTCTGAGTTCATAAAATTCTTAGAATTTGAAGTGAAGGGAAAATTTTCTTGTCTTTCTCTCTTCAGTCCTGGAGAAAGCAGTTTGCCCTGTGTCTTTCCCTTTGCATGTAGGGAAGGCACTACTCCACACTATTATCATCAGGATGTTCTTTATATGCAGAGCCAGATACCAGAAGTACAAGGAAAAAATGAATTCTTCTTGGTTCCATGAGAAGGGTTCAACACAGGGCAAAGAACTCATAAGACTGACTTTAGGAAGGGTGTCTGGACTTCAGTTCATTATAATAGAGATTCTTGGTGCTTCAGTGTCTAAGTAGTAGCCCCAGATTCCCTTAAGATATAAAAGCAGTATATGATTTAACTTGATTTTAGGTGGGATTGGCATTGTTTTCATTTTGAGATTTAGTGATACCCTCTCTAAAATTTGAAATGTTAGAGCAAATTGGTTAGAAATCACCATCAGAAACATTTACAAATATATTCTAATTGAATTGCAGGGACCTAAAGCTTCTCTCTCCAGTGAGACATAGCAAATTTCAGTTTTAAATAATTAACTCTGGTTTTATATAACTCTGCCTATTATATTTTATGGAATAAACCGTTACAGTAGACTTGACTACCTCATTCCAAACGAAGAAAGACTACCCTCAAATTCCTAATTCAGTTCAGTAAGTCTTTTCATCAGGGTTTGGTTACAAAGTATACAGTTTCTCCAGGCTCTGATTAAATCACTTCCTCTTCTGCTAGTATAATTTTTCTGAAATCTGAGCTGCATGTTATGTCTAGGCAAAAGATTTTGACTCAAGAACTCTTAACAGTTTTGACTTTGTGACCTTGAAATTTCTCTGTTTAAATCAGGATAGTAAGATTTTTATTAGTGAGTTAGCGGCATTTATGATGACAGTGAAAGTTTTAACTGAATATACAGTTGGGATTGATTGACAGACCTTCTTAGTTATTAACAGCAAGTGGCAGAATCCTTTGGGCTATGGGGGCAAGGAGGGATGGCAACTGTGGTATGATGCAGGGGGGCAGAAAGGCCTGGTTACAGAAACTACACATTACTGGTTTAGAACAGGCCTTGTGCTCACCATGGCATGTGATCCTAGTTTCATGAGTTGTGAGTTTCCATCATCAAACTTGTTCCCAGATGCTCATGAGACCATGGGTTACTACTTATCTAGAAAACTTGCCTGCTTTCTGGTACACTATTAATAAAAAAATATTTTATAACTCTGATGTATCAAAATTAAAAGACTGCAATCTTTGTTTTAGTTAGTGGTTTAAAACATTTAGGAAAAAATAATACCAATAAATGAAGTAGTTTCCAGTATTGGGGAAATAATTGAGCTTTAAAAACATTTTATTTATTTATTATTATTTTAAATATTTTATTTATTATTTTTATGTGTATGAGTGTATTGCCTGCATTAGCCGCCATGTGGGTGCTGGGAATTGAACCCACGTCCTCTGCAAGAGCAGTCAGTGCTCTTAACTGCCAAGCCATCTCTTCAGCCCCTTATTTATTATTTTTATTTTATGTGTATGAGTGTATTGCCTGCATGAATGTAAGTGCTCCCATGTGGTACGCTCCCTGTAGAGGTCAGAAGAGGGCATTGAATTCATCTGGAACTGGAGTTACAGATGGTTGTTAGCTGCCATGTGGGTGCTGGGAATCGAACCTAGGTTCTCTGTAAGAGCAGCCAGTGCTCTTAACTGCTGAGCTGTCTCCCCAGCCTCATAATTGACCTTTTATCATCAATATTACCTATGACCCAAAGTGGCAGCCTGGTGGATGTTACCTTTTATTTTGAGAATTAAAACTTAACTCTCTTGTAAGAAATTCTTAATTAGAAATTATCACCAATATAGCCTGGTCTAAGAATGGTGAGTTCCAGGCTTGCTGGGGCTACAGGGAGACCGTATCTCAAAACAACAACAACGAAAACAACAACAACAACAACAACAACAAATCATCAGTAACACATGATTAGATTTGAAATGGAGAGGTCAACACAGACATCACTTTCTATGTTGTTAAATATTGCTCATATCCAGAGCATATATTTATATTACACATTAACACTGTAGTTATTGGTAACTATTTTTTTCTACTTTTTTTGGCGGGGATGTGGGAGGAGAACTCAAAAGAAGAAAATAAACATAGAAGGTCTCATTCAGATCACAGTAGAATTACAAAGTCTATGTATTAATACAAACAAAAGGCCCCCAGTCAGTTTTCTTGGGTTATTATTTTTCAAAATTTTATTATTTTTATGTGTATGAGTGTATTTCCTGCATGTGTTTAAGCACACCTGTGTCATGCAATGTCTGAGGATGTCAGAAGAAGGCGTCAGATCCCCTGGTCCTGGAGTTACAGATGGTTGTTAGCCACCACGTGGGTGCGGGAATCAAACCTGGGTCCTCTGCAAGAGCAGTCAGTGCTCTTAACTGCTGAGCTATCTCTCTAGCCCCTCTTAGGTTTTTATTGTAGATATGTTATTAGTACATTTGTTGTTTCCAGAATATATCAGACTGGAAGCAGTAAATTGGGATGGGCAGGGAGCCCACAGAGCAACAGCAGCAGAGACCAGGGACAGCTGGTATCTAACAATGAAACGTGAACATGTTAAGTGTGTTCGAGAATTCCGAAGAAGTAGATGAGATAGGCTGAGTGTCGGGACCAGATAGCATTTCTGACCTCAGTGGCCCGAAGCCTCATTCCTGTGTTATAGAATGGTTTAAGAATGCATATTTATATTAATCAGATGACATAAAGCAAACACTTTATAAAATGATTGTTGAATGTGTCATTAAGAAAAACATGGCTAACACTCCCATGTGTTAGATAAAACAAAAAGTGTGACTGAGTTCCCTTTATTCTGTAAAGATTTCTTTTTTTAAAATTTCATCATCATCATCATTATTTTGTGCTAGGGATTGAACCCAGAACCTCATGCATGGTAAACATACATTCTACTATGGATCCCTGCCTCCCTGTTTTTTCTTTTCTGTCCTGGAGATGGAAGCTAGGGTCTTACACATGCCAGGTAAGCACTCTACCACTGCACTATACCCCCAGCCCTATTACTGTTATTGTCACTAAAAGGCATCTATGGATCTTAAAGGCATATGCTTTAGTTACCAGGAAAATTAATATTGGTGAATGATCTTATTTTCCATTAATTCTATATGAATTAGGAGCGTCTATCATTTAATTATGCATTTTATATTTACATCTTTGCTTATTAACATTTAAATCTTATTACATGGCTACTTACATAAATTATTTTCATTTCCTTTGAATTTCAGAAGTCTCTATTATATGGGGGAATGTTTCAGAATTTGTGAAACGGCAGCTAACCATGCACAAGGTAGGCTTCATACTTCAATTTTAGCTAGTAGTCCAAGAGGTAATTTCTTCCTCAGGCTTGCATAATTTTTCTGGGACTAGTGCAGCAGGCTTTAGAGACATTCAGCTTTGTTGTCGCTCCTGTTTTCTGTTTGTTTGTTTTTGATGCATACAGAATTTGTGCATAGCAGGCTTGACAAATACAGATTTAAAAAATCTATCTTTATGTATATGAGTGTTTTTTGTGCACATATGTAAGTGCACCCATGTCATGTAATGCCCTCAGAGGCCCTTAGAAATGGGTGTTGGATCCTCTGGAACTGGAATTTCGCACAGTTGTTAGCCTTCATGTGGGTGCTAGGAACCAAAATCAGGTCCTCTGCAAGAGCAGCCAGTTGGCTTAATGGCATCTCTCCAGCCCTAACAAATCTAGATTTTTATCCTCAGATAATGAATGTATAAGTTCTGCTGTTTAGTGATGCAGACTGCAGTGCTGTTCAGTGTGGGTGTGTCTGAAGAAGCTAGATGAATTCTGCCTGTGATCTGACAGCTCCTGGCACAGCTGTGGAGGGATGGAATACTTCTTGTCCTGGCCCTTTTCTGAGAATGAATTTTAATTGAAATATATAAACAAGGGAACAAAACTCAAGTAGCCCCAAATAAGAAACTTTACCTATGGTCAGACTAGCTTCTCCTATCAAGTCTTGAGTTTGGATGCTATTGCATTAAGTAGGATTTTGGGAGGATCATGGAGGGAGTTGTTAGGAGGTTGTGGAACTTTAATACCCTACTCAGAGGTCCTAACTGTGAGATTCCTCAGACTGCATTTACCCTTTAAACTTATTTTGTCTGGTTTGAGAATTTGAATTAAATTAAATTATTGTCACTTAAAATTGGGAGAATATAAAGGTTTGCATTTTTCTCTCCCTCCTCTTGGAAAAAATCAGCAGGCCTAATGCTATTAGTCTGTGCGTGACTGTGGCTGAGGCTGCTGACGGGCTCCCCCTTTAGATGGGTCCTGCAGTTCCAGTCACCACATGTTCCTGCTGGCTTCCTTTACTCCCTAACTTTTTTGTTGTTGTTGTTTAAATACTTTATTATTTTTATTTTATGTGTATGAGTGTATTGCCTGCATGTAGGTAAGTGCACCCGTTGTGGTGGTGGTGGCCGTGGTGGTCGTGGTCGTGGTGGTCGTGGTCGTGGTGGTTGCTATTGCTGTTGTTTTGTTATCTCTGAGATCCTGGGTCAATCAAGCTTTTTGCTGCTTTGACAAATGACTTGGAACTGGAGTTATGGACAGTTGTTAGCTGCCATGTGGGTGCTGAGATTCGAACCTGAGTCTTCTGCAAGAACAGTGTTCTTAACCACTGAGCCATCTCTCCAGCCCCTCCCTAACTTTTTTTTTCTTGGCTCCTGTAGGGATTTGAGTTGGAAATCTTTGTTAAAAATATATTTATTTTTATTTTATCCATATGAGTGTTTTACCTGTACATATGTGTGTGCACCACATGTTTCCAGTGCCTCGGAGGCCACAAGAAGCATCAGATCCCCTGGAACTGGAATTATAGACAGTGGATGCCAGGAACTGAGCCTAGGTCCTCTGCAAGAGCAGCAAGTGCTCTTAGCCACTGAGCCATCTCTCTAGCCCCCGAGTTTATAGTTTGATATATTATGTCTCTAGGGTGGGCATCATACGTCATGACAGAGACCAAGTCTGAGAGTAAGAAGTACTTGTACTCATCAGTAAAGAACCCCATGTTGTAGTATGCTTTAGACACTGTCTTGACTTCATTTCATTTTAGCTATTTGATTTATATATATATAGTTGTGCTTTTGTTCGTTGTCTTCTCTCCATCACCCCTCCCCCCGCCACTGTGGGTTGTCTGATTTTAAGTGGGAGATATAAAATCTGAGAGAATAAGAAAACAAAGATTTTCATGCTCTCTTAAATGGAAAATGATTAAATTTACAATGTTATATAGAGACAAGAGTAATATTTGATACAGACTTTAAAAAGCTGGCTGAGCTGCGCATGGTGGCCCACAGCTTTAGTCCCAGCACTTTGGAGGCAGAGGCAGGTGGATCTTTGTGAGTTGGAGGCAAGCCTGGTCTATATAGTGAGTTCCAGGACAGCTGGGGCTACAGGGAGACCTTGTCTCAAAAAGACAAAAAAAAAAACAAAAAAAAAAAGCTGGCTGGGTGTGGCAATACACACCTTTAATTCCGGCACTTGGAGGCAGAGGAAAGTGGATCTCTGTGAGATTGAGGCCAGCCTGGTCTGCATAGCAAGTTCCAGGTCAGCTGGGGCTACAGAGAGATCCTGTCTTTAAAAAAAAAAAAAGCTATGGCATCTGTAAGAGTTTTTATAGAAATGTTACAACTATAAGGATTTACAAAGATTATTGGATTTTTGGATATATATATCGTCTTTTGAGACAGGGTCTCCCTGTAGCTCCAGCTGTCCTGGAACTCACTATGTAGACCAGGCTGGCCTTGAACTCACAGAGCTCCATCTGCCTCTGCCTCCCAAAGCGCTGTGATTAAAGGCATGTGCCACCACGCCTGGAGATTACTGGATTTTTTTTAAGACTTAAGCTCTTTTCACATTAAAAAAAATAGGTGACTATTTCTCTTCACTTTTTCAGTGAAACTGTGTTTGTTGTTCTTTTTGTCTTTTTCCTTTCAGGGGGTTCAGATTTCAGGACTTGGAACTTTCACTTTCACAAGACAGAAGCTCGAAGTGGGAAACAACAAATTTATTCTAGTTCAGAGGCCAGTGTTTGTCATAGCAGAGAAGTTAGTGCAGACCCATGGACTCAAACAAAACAAAGTATATTCGCCTGGTAAATCATTTTAACATTTAAGACTTTTCCAGAAGTTTATTGGTCTGTGGATAAAAATGGAAAGGTAAAGCTTGGCCAGTACTATGTTAATCTCTAGTTTGAGAAACTCAAGTTTCACAAGGTACCTTTGTCAGAAGGAGCCACAGGATGGGAAAATGACAGTCTTCCTGAAGTCCATTTTATTCTATTTATTTTTTAATTTAAAAGATTTTAATTTATTTTTATTGTGTAGTGTGTGTGTGTGTGTGTGTGTGTGTGTGTGTGTGTGTGTATGTATGCCATGTTATACATGTAGAAGTCAGAGGACAGCTTACAAGAGTCAGTTCTCTTTTTCTACCATGTGAGTCATGGGAATGGAACTCATGTTCTCAGGCTTGGTAACAGGGGCCCTTGTTTCCCAGTCTCTGGCTCCATTTGAAACCCCAGTAACTTAAGAGGCAGGTATGAGTAGACCTGATAAGCCAAGTTCCTATAAAAGCCATACACAGACTTATACTCATCTTTCAGCTCCTAAGAAATTAAAAGTGGTTATGAAGAAAAAATTGATTAAGGGTCTTCTGTTTGGGAAATGAGGAAAAACAAAAAACTAAGCGTGTTCAGTTAGCTGTGAGAAAAAGAGCAATGCGTTTTATTATATACTGTTCTAGTTTCAATTGCTGTGACAAAACACTCTGACCAATACAAACTTAGAGAGGAAAGGCTTTATTTGGCTTATATCTTCTGGGTCACAGTTCATCAGAGAACCCAAGGTAGGAACTCAGGGCAGGAACCTGGAGGCAGGAGCTTGAAGCACAGGGCATGGAGAAATGCTGCTTCCTAGCTTGCTCCCTTGGCCCATGCTCAGTCTGCTTTTTTTATACAATACAGAACAACCCAGGGGTGGCTCTGCCCACAGTGGGCTGGGCCCTCCCACATCACTCCGAAATCAAGAAAATACCCCACAGACATGGCCTCAGGCCAGTTCAATGGAGGCAGTTCCCCAATTGAGGCTCCTCTACCCAGGTGTGTCAGGTTGACAACTAAACCAGCACAGATAATCTAAATTATTAAAATTTTAAAGTTCAACAATTCTGTACTTTTTATACATAACTTACATCTTTTTCATACCCTAGAATGATCCCTCCCTCCCTCCCTCTCTCCCTCTCTCATTCCTTCCTTCTGTAGATGTTTGCTGAGGGAACTCTGCAGGCTTTTGAACTATAGTGATAAACAGAACGTATAACCACTGTCATATTTATACTCAGTATCAGCAAGTGAGCTCCATGACACCTGCTGTGGCTGGTCAGCCGTGTTTGAGGGCTCAGCTCCTCATTGCTGGCTGTGTTCCCTTTGGCCTTATTGTCTTCTGTTGTATCAGACTCAAATCTGGTTACAGAGAAATGGTCTACTCCCAATGGAAAAGCCTGTAATGTTCCTGTAGGTTAACTTTCTAGGAAATTAGTTTTCAGGGTAACTTTCTATGAAAGAAAGAAAGAAAGAAAGAAACGAAAAGAAAAGAAAGAAAGAAGAAAGAAAGAAGGAACAAGAAAGTCAGCCAGCTAGGCAGGCGCAGTGACTCATGCATGTAATCCTAGTGCTGACAAAGTTAAGTAAGGATTGCAACAAATCTGAGACCAGTCTGAGTTACATAGTGAGTTTCAGCCTGGCTTGGGCTATAGAGTGAGAACCTGTTTCAATAAAACAGACCAACCAACCAAACGTGCTAGAAAAACAAATACTAATAATTATACTTATAATACATTTTGCATATATTCAATATGATGGGTTTCATAAATTTTCAGTCATTTTTCACCCAAAATTTTATGTTTCATAAAAGGCATATAAAAGGAAATGGGTTCTTTTCAAAATGTACTGATCTCGGGGGTTGGAGAGATGGCTCAGCGGTTAAGAGCACTGGTTGTTCTTGCAGAAGACCCGGGTTCGAATCCCAGCACCCACATGGCAGCTAACAGCTGTCCATAACTACAGTCCCAGGGGATCCGACAGCCTCTTCTGACCTCCGCAGGCATTGTACAACACAGGTGTATTTACCTACATGCAGGCAATACATGCATACACATAAAATAAAAATAATAAAAATTAAAAAAAGTGTACTGGTCTTTAGAATTAGAGTTTATTTTTCATATCAGATCATGTGGCATAGTCCAAAAATGTAGTTTAGATCTATAATTTATTTTTTACAAGGTGAAGAAATTTCAGGATTAAGTAGTTCAAGAGAACAATTCTGTCTACATTTTAGATTTGGGGTTAAAATTCTTCATTAATAATCAACTAAATAGACATTGTACAGTGTTTTTCAGTGATTAGTAAGACATGGTTCTTGCTTTGAAGCACTCAGGATCAAGGACAGATAATAAACACATCAGTAGATGATGACACATGATTAAGTACTACGAAAGCAGCCTTGGTGGCACTGGATGGAATGTAGTGGAAGTCCACAGGAGAGCATGCCTAACTCTGCCTGGGGAGGTTAGGAAGGTGACACATGAGATCTTAAAGGCTGGACGTATTTTGCCAGCAGAGAAGCTGTGGGAAGATATTTCAGGGAGAGAGAGAGAGAGAGAGAGAGTTGTTAAGGAAGTCAAAGACTTTTCTGTGAGTCTAAGGCAGAGATGACTGTGGCAAATGGAAGGATGTAAGACAAAAATAGAAGATTAATTGTATGAGTAGGATGGTATGATTCATTCTGTAGGCACTGGGAACCACTGAAAGGTTTTCAGCAGGTCCAGTTTTTAGTTTAGGAAGAGCTCTTTTAGTTCAGTGAAATGTGGTAAGTGCCTGGGTGGAGGCAGAGACAGGGTAGAAGGAAAAGGACTGTTCAGATGAGAGCGGAGAGGCCTGGGTGAGGATAGGTGAAAGTGGTTAGAATGACTCAGAGTTCTTGGTTGGAGAATGGATGGATGCTTACGGTGATGGATAAGATAATGAGCTCCTTTGGACATGCATTTGGTATTGTTCCAGGCGTTCTTAGGTAGAGGTGATTCCAGAGCTTAGGAGCGGGGGGGTGGGGTGGGGGGAGCAGAGCTGGATTTGAATAAGTTTAACTAGGAGAGCATATTAAAGTAAGGAGCAGATCCTGTGAGAAAAACAAACCCTCACAAACCGAACAAACAAATGGGAATCAAATCAGAACGACCTCTCGAACCCCTTAATATGATGAGTAAAAGAAGAGGAAGCCAACCAGTAGATCAAGGAGGAAGTTGGAGAATCAAGAGTGGTATCATGGATACAAGAGAAAAGAGGGCATGCCTAACTAGTTACAGAAAGGTGAGAGACGAGATTTGCAAGTATCTCTTGGTTCATTCACCGTGAGAAATAGTGTCTTTCCTGAGGTAAGTGGGCTGAAAGATGGGACTGCAGAGGTGAACTGGGCAAATGGGAAGGCAGGCAATATGAACTTCTCTTTTAAGAAATTTACACTGAAGCCAGGCATAGTGGCTCACGCTTTCAATCCCAGCACTCAGAACACAGAGGCAGGTGTATCTCTGGGAGGTAGAGGCCAGCATGATTTAGATAGCAAGTTCCAGGTCACCTGGAGATACAAGGAGACTCGGTCTCAAAACAAGCAAACAAGCAAACAAGCAAGCAAGCACCCCCCCCCAAAAGACGGGGGTGGGTGGGAAATTTACATCTAAAAGAAGTGGAAGGAGGTGAGAAAGAAGTATTGTTAAGTTGTGCAGTAGACAGTGATCAGCAGTGAGTGATGTAGGGAAACTTGTATCTAACAGAGCTGCTAATTCTTATCACTTGTCAGTACTGGACAGTTGAAAGATCGTACTAAGTGATTGTCAGAGCGTCTTCTCCATCCTGATCCCACACCGAGAGACCTTATTATTGCAACTCTTTGTCTTGCCTATCTGCATCCTCTGCTGTCTGCGACTTTCCTACTTGTGGACCTTGCACAGCTCCTACACCACTTTTAGTCAAATAGAGCCCATGCTTCCTTTAAGTGAGACACAATCTCATTCCGCTGCAATGTCATTTAAGAGCTCATTCTGCAGTTCATCTAGTCTGATACCCTTGTATAAGCCCCAGCATCATGAAAGATAACTTCTGAGGAAGATGGTCATCTTTCCAGACATTTAGCATTTGAAAATATCTTAATTGTCTAAAAATGATATGTTAATCAACAGAGGGTCATAAATACTGCTGCAGAACATTGTAGAAGGCAAGGGAGCTGAAAACTTCAGAAAACTGGTGGATAGAAGCCATTAGTTACTGCTCTGTTCCCTATGGAAAAACCAAATGTTTACTTAGAGAATTTCGATAGCTGATTGTTTTTACTGTGAGCATGAAACATTGCACTTTCAAGGAAAATTGTACTGATTAGCATGTCTTAATAACCCATTATATTTGTTGCCTGCACTAATTTCCACTGAGTACAACTAAGGTAAAACATAGACAATTCTTCTTTTAATTTTTGTTACTTTAAAATTTTTATTTATTATTTTTATTTTATGTGTATGAGTGCATTGCCTGCATGTGCTTAAGTGCACCTGTGTCGTGCAATACCTATGGAAGTCAGAAGAGGGCACTGGATCCCCTGGAACTGGAGTTACTGATGGTTGTTAGCTGCCATGTGGATGCTGGAAACCTGGGTCCTCTGCAAGAGCAGTCAGTGCTCGTAACCACTGAGTCATCTGTAAAGTCCCAGATTCTACTTTTTAGTATTAAGTTAGAATCAGATAATTATTTGTAAGTAAACACGGTATGTTTTTATTATAATCTTTATTATATGTCTTCATTACAATTTCCTCTTCCTTTCCCAACTGTCTCTTTCTCCTCCAGGTGATATTCCAATAGTCCCACTTAATTTTGTCATGATATCCCTGGAGGGTCCCTTTAACAGGGATACAGTGGAAGGATGTGTTAAGGAGACATTACTTTTTTTGTCACGATCCATTTCTGTCAAACAAAACGTGGAGTTCACATTCAAAGGAATTGGGGTCCTTGTGATTAAAGACAGCAAAGTGAAGATGAGATTTTATAAGGACTTCCTTTGTACGGTGGATGGAAGTGGGACTTTGACGAAAGCCTTGGCAAATGTAAGTTAATGTATTCTTTTCCTAACCTGTCTTGGTTTAATTTTTGTTGCTATGATAAAATACCCTGACAAAAAGCAACTTAGGGGAAGAAAGGGTTTATTGTAGCTCACAATTCCAGGTTACAGTCTATCACTTCAGGGAGGTCAAGACAATAGGAACTTAAAAAAACTAGTCATTTCACATCCATAGTCAGGAGCAGAGAGAAACAAATGTATGCATGCTCAGTGCTCAGCTCACCGTCTCTACTCTTCTATCATCCAAGGACCAAAACTAGTGAATGGTGCTGCCCACTTTCAGGCTGGGTCTTTTCCACATCAATGAAGGCAGTGAAGACAATCCCCCATAGACATGCCCATGGGCCAACAAAACCTAGACAATCCCCCATGGAGACTCTTTTCTAAGGTGACTCTATCTTGTGTCAAGAGCTAGCTGTCACATAAACCCTCTTCTAATTTGTGGTTCTGAATCAAATGAAGGTATGTGATGTCATTAAGGAAAACATAGGCTGACATATTTTAAGTGATATTTTTCCTGAGTGTAGGGAAATATCTGTTTATAGATATCCATTCTCTTGATAGAAAAGACAAGGAAGAACTTTAAATTTTGAGTCGGTGCTGATCTAATCAAGGAACAGAAATATTAATAGAAAACAATTCTGGACATTTTATAGTATTTTATTGCTTAAAAACTCACATGCATTATTTGGAGTTTCAAAATAACATAAAATCAGCATTATTATATTGTCACCTGGTCTTTATATGAGGAGCATGATGGTTCAGAGAGGTTATGTGGAACCCACATCAATGTCTAAAACAGCCAGGACAGGGACTGAAGCCCAAAGTTCCTCACCACTCAGTTTTTGCTGTGTGTACCATTCACTTTTAAAAAATCTAGAACAGCCAGGTATGGTGGCACATGCCTTTAGTCCCAGCACTGGGGAGGCAGAGGCAGCTAGATCTCTGTGAGTTCAAGGCCAGCCTGGTCTACATAGTGGGTTCCAGGCCAGCTGCTACAGGGAGACCCTGCCTCAAAAAGACCAAAAAAAAAAAAAAAATCTAGAACAAGGCTGGACATGGTGGCACACACCTTTAATCCCAGCACTCAGGAGGCAGAGGCAGGTGGATCTCTGTGAATTCAAGGCCAGCCTGGTGTATTTGGTGAGTTCCAGTCCAGTTGGGGCTATAGGGAGATCCTGTCTCAAAACAAGACCACAAAAATAAATCTAGAACAAAATCTAATTCAAGTCATAGAAGCACACCTTCTAGCTGTTAGTTTACAATGTCACAGAAGAAATTTCGTAACTGTCACTGTCACTGTTAACTATTAAGCTGCTGCATGATGTTCATGAGAAGTTGGATATAGCAGAGTTTAAAGAGGCAAATAAGTAGTTAATAACAGGTTTTGTCCAATACTTACCATGCCTTATGTACAGCTCTGGGTACTATGAGTTAACAGAATCACGACAAAATTCCATAGAGCAAAAAGCCTGATTTTCTTTTTTAAATGAAAGGTCTATGAGGATGGTCTAACTCTGTCATTTCCCCCTTCATGGAACTCTGTGGTGGGGGTTGAGGAGAAGGGCCTGTGGATAAGGAGGTTCTTGGAGTTCTCCACACAACCTTATTTCACACAGGCTTGCTAAGAGGGATCCCATCCAGGGTATAGACAGTGGAAACACACACAGGGAAAAGTCCTGTCTTCCCTATGAGAACTCAAGCCAAGATCTTCAAATTCACAAGCAGGGCCAAAGTGGCTGCTCATTTCTAATTCTGTAGGACTCAGCTGAATTTTAAATGCTGTTTTTTGTTGTTGTTGTTTGTTTTTTAACAAGAGAAAATGGTATTTTATTTGTTCCATTGAACTGTAAAGCATAATTTTGAGGAAGTCTTCCCAAAAGAACTAGTCCTGAAAATATATTGTGACAGAAGCATTAAGAGGTCAAAGGTGATTGAGTTTTGTGACTCTCAGTCACCATCATGGACAGAGCACTTAGTATGCTACGGAGCTGCTGTACAGTGGGGTGACAGTCCAAATGAGTTTCCCCTGGAACTCTGAGTTAATCAATATTCTTAAACATCTCATTCGCTCTATAAACACTGTGACATGGGGTGACGGGGCGGCGGCGGGGAGGGGCTTGGGTAGTTTTACCTACAATATCCCATAAGTTAAACCCGAGTACTTTCCTGTAAAACTTTATGTGTGTATTTTGGTGATTCTTTAAAAAATTTCTTTTTGGGAATTTTCTTCAAAGCCTTTTGTAGGCCATAGCATTCATTGTCACATAATTTTATATATTATCCCATAGCAATAATGTGACTATAATACAGTATGATAATTGCAGTAGCTCTTTGTTGAGTGCTCTGTGCACACTTCCATGGAGTAGCTCATTAAAATCCTGCATGGTAGATACTACTGTTATCCCCATGAACCTAGTGGTACATAGAAGCTAGCAGTTTGGCAGTGGGACAAAAACCCACTTGACTCCAGCGACTTACCTACTTTGGAGTCATTTGGGTCAAGAGTGGAGTTAGAGCTCTTGTTCATTTTCTGGTGATTTAAGGAAGTCTGCTCTCCTTCCAAAGGTGTCTAAAAGAAGCTTCAACTTTCAAGGCAATTTACAAAAAGAGGGATGGTTTGAGGAAAGGCAGCATCTATAGAACTGCTGTTCAGTCACCCAGGGCGGCACCTTTGATGCATGAGATCATTCCTCATTAGACTTTAAACACCAAACAAACATAAAGAGCACATGGTGGCGTTACCCTGGAGATGTGGGTCTGCCCTGGATGGAAGCCCAGGTCTAATCTTCTGTCTGTGTCCTCTAGAGACCTGGTACTGTGGACTCTGTGCTGTCTAGCAGAGAGGCCTTTGGAAAGCGGCCTGACAGTGCACTTGCATTTCCCAGGTGAGCGCTTTGTTCTCTTAATCCAGGCACCAGATCTCTTGCTTATTGGGCAGAACTTGTTTTTCATTATTTTATTTTTATTTTTTTGTTTTTCATTCTTAAAAATATTTTATTATTTTTAGTTTGTGTATGTTTGCCTGCATGTGTGTAAGTGCACCTGTCATGCAGTGCCTGTGGAGGTCAGAGGGCATCAGATCTCCTGGAACTGGAATTATAGACAGTTGTTAGCTGCCATGTGAGTGCTGGAAATCAAACCCAGGTCTTCTGTAAGAGCAATCAGTGCTCCTAACCTCTAAGCCATCTCTCCAGCCCTTTTTTCATTAACAGTCTCTCTTCCCCATCTCCCAGTCTCTCTCCCTTTCCCTCTCTTTCTTTCTCTCTACCCCTTATTGCATATGTTTTCTATAATTATGTTGAATAAAAATGACCCTTTAGCCAGGGGTGGTGGTGCATGCCTTTAATCCCAGTACTCGGGATCTGCCTGCAGAGGCAGGCGGATCTCTGTGAGTTCAAGGCCGGCCTGGTCTACATAGTGAGTTCCAGGACAGTTGGGGCTACAGGGAGACCCTGTCTCAAAGAGACCAAAAAAAAAAAAAAAAAGACCTTTTAGAATATTCCTTTTTCTCCATGTATTCCGGAAATTCTGACACCACCTCCCACCAATCTTAGTTTCTGCAATGTGAGTAAAACTCTTCTTACCTGCTGGGTCTTCCTCTGCTTTCTTCCACCTCCTCTGCCCTAGCTTCTTTTTTCTTCCAGCATGAGTTTTGGCTGTTACCACTAAACAGGCTAAAGGTTTCTCTTCAAGAGTAAGGTGAGAAGGTGAGTGTTAGTGGGGGCTGCCCCTGGCAGTGGTAATAATAGCAGTAACAGCTACTGTGGAGCACATATTGGAAGCCAGTTACTATGAGGCACTCTCTCAGTAGTACTGTAGCCAGTCTTCACTATAACCATGTACTACGCCTTACAGTTTTCTCTATTTTGTAGAGATGCAAAATTAATTTAAATTTAATGTAATTCTTATTTTGTTTTAAACAAATGATGCAACATGGTGTGGTGTGTTATTAAGAACACTGAAAGAGGAGCCAGGAGGCTTGAGTTTCTTCTCCTGCTGGCTCTTCCCCACTCACGGTGTGCTGCTATTATGTTCTTAATCTTGTTTGCTTTGCTGTTTTCTGCAATGCTTTACAGATGAAGAAAGCTTGGACAGTAAGAGCCAACTCCCTAGAGTAATAGTCTCTCAAATATTTTGAGTCCCTGACATCCTGCTGTGTTTGTTAGTTTGGAACAATCCCTCTTAGAAGAGCTGGATGAAACATGCTCAGAAGAGTGAGGTGAAGGCCAGAATAAGCTCAGAGATTAGTTACTCCAACCTCTGCATCTCTGTCCACAGAGCTACTGACTAGAAACCAACGGCCCCTTTACTCATCGGAAATAAACCAGTGGATTCAAAATAATTTTATTTATTTTTTGGTATTAGTGTTTTGCTTGCATGTATGTAAGTGCACTGTGTTGTGCAATGCCTGTGGAACTCAGAAGAGAGTCGGATCCCCTGGAACTGCGGTTACAGACATTGTTATTGTGTTTGTGTATATGTGTTTGAACATGGACATGCCACTGTGCATGTGTTGAGGCCAGAGGACAACTTGCAAGAGTTGGTTCTCTCCTTCCACTATGTGGGTACCAGGGATTGAATTCAGGTTCATCTCTGATTAGTGCCTTTAGCTACTGAGCCCCCTCATGGGTCCCCTTTTTGATATTTTTTGATGGAAGCATTCCAGGGAGTCAAAGAATCCTATTGATTTGAGCACCTAGAAATGAATATGAGGATTCAAATATTCAAAATAATTGTTGGAGTTTATTTCTGTAAAGTTTTGTCTTTGAATTTTCTTATAGGTGCTTTCTCCCATCTCGAGTTTTAGCCCAGCACTCATACCTGAGACCAAAGAAAACCTTTGACTGCACACATCAACTGAACCTCACCTCCCGTCCTAAATTGTATCTTTTTACGTCCTTTACTTTTGCCCAGGGAGAGGACAAAGAAGAGAGACACGTTTACGCAGAGCACAAGCTGGTTGCCAGTCTGTGATTTCTTGACTTCAAGTTAACAACCAACTCTCACAGACCTAGAAAGGACATAGAAAAATTCACAATGAAACCAAAGTCAAAAACTTAAATTGAGGCCTCCAAAGCAGTTTCTTTATATACAAGCCGCTTTTGAGGCCACAGCAGAAGGAGTTAGTCTTGACTGGCTACCAGATTTAGCCTCAAAGAGGGGGAGTTCATGCTATGTATTTAGGAAGGCAAATTTTGCATTCCCCTGAAGGAAGCAAGCTTGTTGCAGAATCAGCAAGGTTGCTCCCCAGAACTGAGAGTTCATGCAGTCACCTGTTCAGGACAAATGCAGAGGACAAACATCTTGATTCATTCTTAGGATTGAGCATAAAGAGATGGAGAACAAACCACCCTTGGACACCATTGTAGAGGAAGGTGGAGAGAACAAACAAAGGAAGAGCAAGTTGAAAGACCAGTCAGACAAAGAAGGCGCCAGAGGTAGGCCCGAGTGCTTTACTGTTCTTTACTCTTAGGAGCTTTGTTGTATTTCTTTGCAGCTTTTATGCCCAAAGTAAATAAAGAGTGTATCAGTTACTTTTCTTGTTGCTGTGAAAAAATACTCGACAAGAAACAATTTAAGGAAGAAAATGTTTATTTTGACTTAGAGTTTGAGGGGATACATCCCATTACGGTTAGGAAGGCATGATGGCCAAGCAGGAGGCTGGCTGGTCATGTTGCATCTACATCACGAAGCAGAAAGTGAATAGGAAGTGGGGCCTGGCTATACAACCTTAAGGCTCACCTCGTGATTCCATCTTCTTAAAGATTCCTTCTAAACCTTCCCAAACGGTGTCACCAGCTAAGGACTAAGTGTTCAAACACATGAATCTATGAGGGACATTTCATATTCAATCACAGCCGTTAGATTCACCAGCAGCCACTGTATTCTTTTTTTTTTTTTTTTTTTTTTTTTTTTTTAATGCACTTTTTTTTTTCTAATGCACACCTTCTATTCCTGGAATCTTATATCTTGCCTTAACCATTTTATGAATCTTAGGCCGCATGACTCTGACTCACTACTCTCTGTTTGGTGATTGGCTCCCTGTTGCTTGAAGGGGTCAAAAGTCAGATACCCACAGGGTCCCAGTAAGTAGCACAAATGTATGAGGTGAACTGTCAGTCAGACTGTCTCAACTGGGCAAGAGATATTTAAAGGAAAGAGAGAGTATGTCTTGTGTGAAGTTTATTTTTCCTAGGTGAAAACTGTCAGTTTATTTGTGTTAAGCACAAACTACCCATTTAGCTGCTTGAAAATTGAAGGGACTATCATTTGCATTTGCTTTTTATTCTAGAGATCTTGTCACCCAAGAAACATCGTGATAGACAATTCATCTCACCTGCTAAAGTGACAAGTGTCAGCCTGCTGGACAAGTTTGAACGAAGTGGGAAGGGTGGGAAGACCGTGACTCCGGAACAGTAAATTTCTGTGACATTTTACTAAATAGAATTTTGAGGTCTTCCTTGATGCAGGGAATTTTAGTAGTTAATTTACTCTTTTATCCAGTATTACTGAGAACACTATGTGGGTAGTGATGGGGATAGCAGAGATGACCAAGGCTCACAATCTGAAGGGAACGCCAGACACAAGTAAAGGGATACATTATGGGCAAGTGGAATGAATATTATTTGAGCAGAGTAGCAAGAGTATCCAGCTTTCCTGATTTCAGAACCCACTTCCTAGCTCTACCAAACTTGCTCATTTTCTGAGTGCTTGGATATAATGTGACAGTTTCATATTTATATTAAAGAGTAAGTTTCCCAAACAGGTCTGGAGCTTCATTAATTCTCAGTAAAAATTCCTTGAATTAGGGGCTGGAGAGATGGCTCAGTGGTTAAGGACACTGGCTGCTCTTGCAGAGGACCCGGGTTCAAATCCTAGCACCCACATAGTGGCTAACGACCATTGATAACTCCAGTTCCAGGGGATCCAATGCCTTCTTCTGACATCCATGGGCATTGCACAATGTGGGTGCACTTACACACATGCAGGCAATACACTTATATACATAAAATAAAAATAAAAGTAATAAATTAAAAAATTCTTTGAATTAATGAAATATTATAATTTGGTCAGCTATTTTATCCTTCGTTTTTTAAAAATTTTCTTCTTAAGATCTCAAATCAGTCAACTAAATTAAAGTAGCTACCAAGCACCTTAACTATGTACTTTGCCTTGTATTGTCATTTATTTTAAATTAATTTTTAATTTTTAAATTATCTATTTATCTATCATCTATCTATCTATCTATCTATCTATCTATCTATCTATCTATCTATCTATCTATCTATCTATCTATCTATCATCTATTTATTTAATTTGTGTGTGTGTGTGTGTGTGTGTGTGCGCGCGCGTGCACATGTGCATGCATACAGTGGAGGCCAGAGGAGGATGTTGGGGGTCTGCTCTCATTTTCTACCTTACTTTCTGAGGCAAAGTTTCTCACTGAACCTGAAGCTGGTCATTTTGGCTAGGGTGACTGGCCAGTGCTCAGGATCTTCCTGTCTCTGCCCCATAAACTGGGGTTACAGGCATGTGTCCATGTCTGGCTTTTATGTGGCTGCTTGGGGTTTGAATTCAGGTCATCTTGCTTTCACTGTTAAGTACTCACTCATGGAGCCATCTTCCTAGCCTCTGTTAAACTGATTTTTGCTTTTAAGGTATGTGTACAAGATTATTTTATGTATTTTTTAATTACATTTTTTCAATGTGTGTTCTTGTTGAATTTTTGTGGATTTCATACAATACATCTTAATCATATTTAGATCCCCACCCCTATCAGCACCCTCCCAAAGCCCACCCACAGGATTTCATGCATTTTGTCTTATATGCTAAGGCCTATAGAGTCAAGTTTGTATACCCAGATGTCCCTCTGTGTGAGTTCATCCACTGGAGCCTGTTTAGTCTGTCTAGTGTCATTCCCTTAAAGAAGATCATCTCTCCTCACCCAGCAGTAATCAGTTACCAATAGCTCCTCAGTTAAAGTTGGGAACTGCTGCCCATTTCCCCAGTTCTATGCTGGGTTTTTGTCTGATGAATATGCATGGGTCTTGTTCATGCTGTCACCATTGCTCATTCATATGAGCAAGTTCCCAGACACTGTAAGACTCTTTCCTTATGGTCATCCACCACCTCTTGCTCTTACAATCTTTCTGCCCCCTCTTCTGCAATGGTCCCTGAGTCCTGGGTGGATGACGGGACATGCACTCTGAAGACTCTTATTCTCTACACTTTGGACAGTTGTGACCCTTTGTGATTATTGCCCTCTGTTGCATGAGGAAACTTTGCTGATGAGAGTTGAGAGATGCATTAGTGCTCTTTCTACCCCTTGTTCCACTATGCTCTGTGAGCCATAGGTGTAGAGGTTCCATTGTAGATGTGTCACTTTTGGGCTGGGCATGTCACAGACACTTATTCTCTGTGTGTTACCAGTTGTGGAACTCTGTAATAGTCTCTGTCTATTTCAAAAGAAACTTCTTTGATCAGTGGTGACTGGCATACTTGTCTGTAAATCTAAGGATCCATATTTAGCATATAGTAAGAAATGACATTTGTCGAGGGATGTGACAGCCTTGGTGTGTTCTCTGAGATCTCTGACTTCTCCAGCCATGTGTCTTTGGTTATGTTTTCAGTGCCACACGTGAGTTCCCTCTCATTGAGTGGGTATTAAGGCCAATTAGATAGCTGTTTATTACCCCCGAGATAAAAGTACCACTACTTGCACCTATACAGTTTGTTATGCTGGTCATTGTTGCGGTTATTATGCTTTAAACCTGGGGTTGGACCATTGATTGATTTTCTCCCTTAGAAGCTTGCATAGTATCCTCTAAAACTATGAGAGCTAGCCTTCAGGGAGGAAGCTTCCAGGTGAGTTCCAACTCCATTGCTCCAAATCCTGTTTCTGAAGTATGTCCTGTCTTCAGCAATAGGGTCTTACCTTCAAGTTCTGGGAGGTAATCAAGGGCTGTGGAAATGCCTGTATCATTTTGGGAGTCTCTTGGACTACCCTGACCAAACTACTTGAAGAGAGATTTCTCCTGTCTGGCACTGTGTTTCTTGTTATGGCCTTCAGATATACACATGCACCAGAAGAGTGGGCACCCCACATTTACAGCTGCACCATAAAGTCCACACTCAAATACAAATCCTGTGACCTCTCGACAGCTGCACAAAATTGTGAGAGAGGTGCCTCTTTGTGTTGTCAGCTTATATACCCTTTGCCCCCCTCATGCAGCTAAGGTCGACTGATTGGGTGCGAGGGGCAACTGACTCACCCCCCTTGACTCATTGATGAGAGTGGGAAGGAGGTGTGACTATAGCTTGACGTCATAGTGATCGGAGGACATTTTCAGTTAAATCTCCATTCTTTGCTCTGGCTCTTACAGTTTTTCCCACCAACCTCTTCCACAAAAGTCCCTGAGCCTTGGAGGGGGTGGTAGGTGTGGGATGATCGTCCTTCTGTTGTGGCAAGGCACAGAACATTTGGGTCTCTGTATCGTCTGTTTTCCAGGGGCTGTTGGCCAGTTTGAGTGGGATTCCATCTACTATAAAAACAGGCACACAGGAAGAAGCAAGAACGTCTAAACAGTGACTGCTATAATAACTCAACCTATGGGTGTCAACACAAATGCTTGGTCGGTACTTTAGCAGGTGCACCACATCCATCTAACAAAACAATCGCAGTGGCTTCCCACTGGGGCCTATATCCTCCCCTGCCACAGCGGTGGCCGGGTCTACAGTACCAGATCTGGGTTCCGCCCCCAGGAGTGGGCATTACATCCAATCGAAAATTTGCTGGTTGTACATACACTAGATACTCCACTGTTGTGCCAGCAGGAACATCTTATTTGGTATGTTGATGGTGCAACATGAGGGGTCTGTCGTTGAGGAGAATTATAGGGGCTGTTCTCCCCCAGTCATCTGTGTGTTGCCTTTTGGCACCTTGAAAGGCAGCCATCCAGTGTCGGGGAGTTTCCTGCTTAGTCCAAGCTTGATTTCTCCCTCTCCCACACTCACATCATGCAGTGTTTTGAGCAACAGCGTTTTTATATCCACTTCTGGTGTACAGTGAAAATTATTGGTAATAGCCTTTATTGTTTTGGGGACCTCTAGTGTCCCTCAGGCCAACAGCTCATGGGGGTAACCCACCTTTGGCACTGGGATTTTCATTTAACAACCATATTGCTTTTGGAAGGGCTTTCTTCCATCCCCATAGGGTTCCTTCTGTGTGTAAGGCTTTTTTATTTATTTTTTTTTATTGTGTATCTGGAGAATTTTTTCCCTTTTATTCCTATAGTTATTTGTATGGTCCTCCTTTCCCCTTTCCTCTTTAACTACCACTTTTTTAAAAAACATATTTCTCCCTTAATAACACCTTTATCCTTCTAGTCTTCTTTCTTAGGTTCCTTCTATCCCTTTACCTCTCTGTTTTCCTTCCATATTCCCGGTCCCTGCAGTTGTATCAGGATATACACTCACTTATAAGGATTTGGTGCTAGGATCCACAGTCGAGGGAGAATATCTTTTGTTTTCTAAATCCATGTTATTTTACTTAGTATAACAGTTTCTAGATCCATGCATTTACCTGCAAATTTCATTATTTCATCTTTCTTTACTGCTGAATAGAACCCCATTGTGTAAATAAACCACATTTTTTTTAACCACTCATCAGTTGAGGGGTACTTAGGTTGCTTCCATCTCTTAGCTATTGTGAAAAGAGCAGCAACAAACATGGTTGTACAAGTGTCTCTGCAATAGGATGCGTCCTTTGGGTATATGCCAAGTAGTGGTATAACTGGATCATATGGTAGGTTCATTTTTAGTTTTTTAAGAGTTCTCCACACTGTTTTCCATAGAGGCTGCATGAGTTTGCAATCCCACCAGCAGTGAATGAGTGATCCCCTTTCTCCACATCCTTGCCAGCATTTGGTATCATTTGTTGTCTTGATTCTAGTCATTCTGACTGGGGTAAGGTGAAATCTTAAGGAGATTTTAATTTGCATTTCCCTAATTACTAATGATGTTCAACACTTTTTAAGATGTTTCTTAGCATCTTTATTTCTTCTTTTGAGAACTCTCTGTTTAGATCTTTAGCCCATCTTTTAATTGGGTCATTTGCTTTCTTGTTTGTTTTTTGAGTTCTTTAAAACATTCTGGATGTTAAACCTCTGTCAGATGGTGAAGATTTTTTTCCCCGCTCTGTGGGTTTCCTCTTCACTTTTTTTAAATTGTTTCTTTCACTGTGCAGAAGCTTTTTAGTTAAATGAGGTCTGACTTGTTGATTGTTGATGTTAATTCCTGAGCAACTGCTGTCTGATTTAGAAAATCCTTTCGTACACCTATATCTTGTTAGGTTACTATTCTTCTAACAGTCTCAGGGTTTCCAGTTTCGCACTGAGGTCTTTGATTCATTTGGAGTTGACTTTTGTGCAGGTGAAAGATAAGGATCTAGTTTCATTCTTCTACAGGTAGAGATCCAGTTTTGCCAGCACCATTTGTTGAAGATGCTATCTTTCCTCCATTCTTGGCACCTTTGTCAAATATCAGGTGGCTGAAATTGCATGTACTCAGGTTTGGGTCTTCAGTGATGTTCCATTGATCTATGTGTCTATTTTTGTGCCAGTACCTTACTGTTTTTATGACTCTAGCTCTGCAGTATACTTTGAGATCTGATATAGTAATCCCCCACCCCCACCCCAGTGTTGCTCTTTGTGCTCAGGTTTTTCTAATTCTGTGAAGTGTGTCATGAGGATTTTGATTGGTATTGCATTGAATCTATTTACTGCTTTTGGTAGGATGGTCATTTCCACTATATTAATTCTTCCAATCCATGAACATGGGAGGTCCTTCCATTTTCTGGTGTATTCCTCAATCTGTCTCTTTAAAGATTTAAAAATTTTGTTGTAGAGATCTTTGATGTTTTTGGTCAGGTTTATTCCAAGATTTTTTTTTGTGTGTGTGGTTATTGTGAATGGGAGTGTTTCCCTGTACTCTTTCTCCAGTTTCTTGTTATTGGTATAAAGAAAGGCTACTGATTTTTTGTAGATTAATTTTGTAACCTGCCCTTTACTGAAAGTGTTGATCAGTTCTAGGATGGAACTTTTTGGATCTCTTAGGTATAGTATCATATTGCCTGCAAAAAGGGATAATTTGACCTCTTATTTTCCAATTAGTACACCTTTAATTTCCTTCTCTTGTCTTATTGCTCTAGCAAGAGTTTCAACCACTATATTGAAAACTAGTGGAGATAGTGGATATTTTTGTCTGGTTTCTAATTGTAATGGGAATGCTTCCAGTTTTTCTTCTTTAGAATGATGTTGGCTGTGGGTTTGTTGTATATAGCTTTAATTATGTTGAGGTATGTTCCCTCCAGTCCAATTTCCTTTAGTACCTTAATTATCAGTGCATGCTGAAATTTTGTCAAAGCCTTTTCTGCATCTATTGAGATGACAATGTGGTTTTTGTCTTTGAGTCTATTTATGATTGATGATTTTTATTGACTTGTGTATATTGAACCATCCCTGTGTCTCTGGAGTAAAGCTTACTTGATCATGGTGAATGATCTTTTTGATGTATATCTGTATGCGGTTTGCAAGTATTTTGTTGAGAATTTTTGCATCTATGTTCATTAAGGATATGGGTCTATAGTTTTCTTTTTTGGTTGTGTCTTTACCTGGTTTGGGTATTAGAGTGATGCTGGCTTCATAGAATGAGTTTGGAAGTTCTCCCTCTGTTTCTATCATTTTGAATAATTTAAGTGGTATTGGTCAGAGGTCTTCTTTAAATATCTGGTAGAATTCTGCTGTAAATCCATCTGGGCCTGGACTTTTTTTTAGTTGGGAGGCCTTGAATTACTATTTTGATTTCCTTATATGTTATGCACCTGTTTAAACTGTTGAATTCTTCTTGGTTTAACTTTGGAGGTTTCCATGATTTTAGATATCCATCCATTTCTTTAAGGTTTTCAAATTTAGTAGCATATAGGTTTTTAAAGTATTCCCTTATAATCTGGATCTTTTTTTCATATCTGTTGTGATCTTTCCCCTTCCATCTCTTATTTTGTTGATTTGGAGGTGCTCTTTCTTTTGGTTAACTGGGCAAAGGGTCTGTCTGTCTTGTTTAGCTTTTCAAAGAACCAGCTCTTAGATTCATTGATTCTTTGTATTGTTTTGTTTCTATTTCATTTATTTCTGTTTTGATTTTTGTAATTTCTTTTCTCCTGCTGGGTTTTGGTATCATTTGTTCTTGCCTTTCTAGCATCTTAAGTTGCAATGCTAGGTCATTTATTTGTGCTCTTTCTGATTTTTTAATGTCGGCACTTAGAGCTATAAACTTCCCTCTTAGGACTGCTTTTAAAGTGTCCCAGAGGTTTTGTTGTGTTGTGTTATCCTTTTTGTTGAATTTCAAGAATTCTTTTATTTCTTTCTTGATTTCTCCTTTAGCCACTCATCATTTAGGAGGGTGTTGTTTAATCTCCATGAGTTTGTGTAGTGACTAGGGCTTCTTTCAGTATTGATTTTGAGTTTTATTGCATTGTGGTCTGATAGGATGCATGGAATTATATCTTTTATTTTATTTTTATTTTTTTTGTATTTGTTGAGGTTTGTTTTGTGCCCCAGTATGTGGTCAGTTTTTCAGAAAGTGCTATGGGGTGCTGAGTAGAAAGTGTATTCTTTGGTGCTTGGGTGGAATATTTGGAAGATATCTGTTAGGTCCATTTGATGTATGGCATCATTTAACTCAGATGTCTCTCTGTTTAGTCTTTGTCCAGTTGACCAGTCTAATGGAGACAGTGGGCTATTGAAGTCCCCTACTATTACTGAGTTGGGGTTAACCTGTGTCTTAAAATCCTGTAGTGTTGTTTTTATGTTTGGGTGCACCAGAATTTGGTACATATATGTTCATGATTGTATTATCTTCTTGGTTAATTGTTCCTTCGATCAGAATGAAGTGACCCTCCTTATCTCTTCTGATTAGTTTTAGTTTGAAGTCTGTTTTTTTAGCTATTAGAATTGCAATTCCTGCTTATTCTTTTCCATCCTTTCACCTTAAGGTAGTGCTGTTTCTTTTAGACAGCAAAAAGATGGATTTTGTTTCTTAATCCATCCATTTAGCCTGTGTCTTTTGACTGGGGCGTTTAGTCCATTGGTATTTAAAGTTATTATTGAAAGATGTGTGTTGGTTACCATCATTTTGATTGCTGTTTACATTCTCTGTTTAATTTTGTGTTTCCACAATTATACCATTATTTAGTTTCTTTTGTTGCTCCTGGGGTATGGTTGTTCCTTTCTCCATTCTCTGTATTGCTTCAAGTGTTCTTTGAAGTGCTGGTTTTGTGGACATGTGTTTTTCATACTATTCACATCATGGAAGATTTTTCTTTCCCTTTCAACTATTATAGACATTTTTGCTGGGTAAAGTATTCTAGGCTGGCATCTATGGTCATCTATGGTCAACTGGAAATACCTTGGTCAAGGCTCTTCTGGCTTTCATAGTTTGCATTGATAAGTCATCTATAATTCTGATGGGCTTTCCTTTATATGTGACTTGTTGTTTTTCTTTTGCTGATTTCAGTATTCTCTCTTTGTTCTGTACATTTAGTGTGTTTACAATGATGTGTCGTGGGGAGTTTCTTTTCTGGTCCTGTCTATTTGGTGTTCTATGTGCTTCCTGTATTTGTATGGGGATGTCTTTCCTTAATTTTGGGAAATTCTCTTCTACAATCCCATTTAAGATCTAGTCAGTACCATTAACCTGATAGCCTTCTCCTTCCTCTATGCCTATGATACATAGATTTGGTCTTTTCATGGTGTCCCACATCTCTTGCATAGTCCATTCCTGTGTTTTTAAAATTTTTTCATAGTCTTTGCTTGAGTGGTCCAATTCTTCAACTTTATCCTACAGTATTGATATTCTGTTTTCCATTTCATTCATTCTAATGGTGAGGCTTTCTTCTTTTGTTTCAACTACTTATTGAATGTTTCACTTCTTTCTTTATTTCAGCCTGAGTTTTCTTTAATGTTTCTTTCTCTTTTGTGAATTCATTCAGAAGTTTATTCCTATCTTCTTTTAGTTCTTTGATTTGTTTGTGTGTTCTTTAAATTCGTTGAATTCCTTGTTCATATTTATGACTGTTTTTTTAAATTCTGTGTCCTGGGTTATTTCTAGAACTATTCTCCAGGACTGGTGGAGTTTGGTGGGGACATAGTGATTTAGCTTTCCATTTTATTATTCTTTGTTATGATTTTGGCATGTGAATTTCTTTTGTTGTTTGTGATTCTGGTATGAAAATCAAGTCTTCTTTTGTTAAATTGAAGTTTGCTTCTGTTTGTATTATTGGTGTGCCTTAGTTCTTTTCTTATTGGGTTTGTAGAGCTGGTTGGTCTAGATTTCAGGTTCTCTTAGATTTTATTTTGGAGGGAACTGGTTGCTTCCAATCAGCTACTCAGGAGTTCCCACAGAAGCCCAAGTCAGGCTCCAGCCAGGTATAGTCAGGCTTCCTTCTAAGGTTTGGACCCCTACTAGCAAGTACTCAGAGTACAATTTGGGAAGTTCCCTAAGGGGAGGCCCCAATTTTGGCACTCCCAGGCAGTCTACTGAGTTCTCAGTCCCTACCCTAGGCAGAAGCCAGATCACATGCTCTCAGGCAGTTTGCTGAGTTCTAAGTGTCTAGAACAGCCACTCTCAGGCTGTCTGTGAAGGTCTCAGCTTTACCCTACCATAGGGCAGAGGTCTGTCCTGGGGCTGTGGGAGGGGCCTCAATTAATCTCAGGTATGGGGTTGGGTATGGTTAGAATTGGGGGAGCCACGTGGAGGCTGGATCCAGACACTTTCAGACAGTCTGCTGGGTTCTCTGTGTCTAAGCCAGACGGAGGCCAGAACAGCCACTCTCAGGCTGTCTGCTACTATTATATATATTATAAAATTTAAAAAAATAATTATTTTATTTTATGTGTATAAATGTTTTACCTGCATGTATGTAAGTGCACCTGTGTCATGTAGAGCCTGAGGAAGCCAGAAAAGGGTGTCAGATCCCCTGGAACTTGGGTTACGGGTGGTTGTTAGCCACCATGTGGTTGATAAACCTGAGTCTTCTGGAAGAACAGCCAGTGTTCTTAACCACTGAGCCATCTCTCCAACCCCTTGACTTATATTTTTGTTAGCTACTTTTATGATCATAATACCTTCTTTTTGGCCTTCAAGAGCACTGTACTAACATGGACATACCCACACAGACACCAAAGTATACATAATTAAAAAAAAATCTTTAAAATTATCATTGCTCTAGAGACCAACTTGTATTAATCATTAATTAATGTTTCATTATTTTTAAAGCTTATCATCTTCTGGTTGTCTGAAAAATGACGATGAGAAGCCCAGAACATCTCTTGACCCTGCTTGCCAGGATCATAATAGGGCAGGACAGGTACTGTGCTTTTAAATGAATAAATCCCTGTCAGAATCCTCTTCTGATTTCTGTTTCTCCAAAAGAATTCTGTGAACCGCTCCTTAATTATAATGCGTGGGTATGATTCAAGTACTTGGAGCACAATGTGGACTGTGATGGATCTTTCTGCTCATCAGGATCTCCTCCTTAACACAAACAGGGCCAGGAAATATCTTCTAATTTTTCAGTTTCACTGAGGTCCCAGTAAATTTTAAAAATTATTAGTGGAACTTAATATGTAAACTTAATTTTTCTAATTTTACATTATAGATTATATTTCACTAATATAATTTTAAATAAAGTATGTTTCTTGACTCCTCCAGTCTTTGGAAGAACCTGTGAAGTGAAGAAAGTAAAATGAAGGCAAAAAGGCAAAATGTAAAAATTAATTTGTTGGGGCTGGAGAGATGGCTCAGCAGTTAAGAGCACTGGTTGCTCTTGCAAAGGATCTGGGTTCAATTCTCAGCACCCAGATGGCAGTTAACAACCATCTGTAACTCCAGTTCCAGAGGTGTCCAACACCTCCTTTTGGCCTCTGTGGGCATTGCACAACACAGGTGCACTTACATACATGCAGACACTACACTCATACACATAAAATAAAAATAATAAATTATTAAAAAATTAATTTGTCTTGAAATTGTGGATTGTAGGAAATGTGCTACGTGTGCTTGCAACGAGCACAACGAAATTTCCCGTTGTACTACAGTGAGGAGAGGAGGAGGCGAGAGATAGAGGATGAGCAGCTCATGCAGCAGTACCAAATGTTCAAAGACCAGGAGGCTTTCTTCAAAGACCAGGTAGCCCAGCACTCCAGTCAGAGAGGTTTGCTGTGGGACGGCAGAACATCATTCTCAAATTCCTTAAACATGTTTAATGGAATTAACATGGTCATTAAACATGTTAATGTCCACTGTAGCACTCGGTCATTAATATGCTGCTGGACTAAAACTTAGGTGGAGTCCAAGTTTTCACTAACACTGGGGGTGAACGCCCCTATATTTGAATATTGGCACATATTATGGATCGTCCCCATAGAAGGACTGAATTTTAAAGGTGCACATAAACCAGGCATGGTGGTGCACACCTTTAGTCCCAGCACTGGGAGGCAGAGGGAGGTGGACCTCTGTGAGTTTGAGGACAGCCTGGTCTACATAGTATTTCAGGCTAGCTAGGGTTAGATTGTGAGAACAACTCTCCCCCAAAGGTGAAAATGATGGAATATGTTGCTTTATTTTTTATTTCTGATAAAATACAAATCTGATAAAATCTTATACCTTTCAAATTCATAGTCTAGTTCAAAAAGGGAGACACAGAATGGCGCCTTGATACAGTCTCTGTGCAGATTTCTGTGGTGTCAGTAATGACACTGCTGTCCTTTCCTGCACTTGTGATGAAATCTTTTGTTCCTTCTTAAGATCCTTATAGTGATGGTGCCCAAAGTCCAAGAACAGGAAATAAAAACCCTCCCCTAATTCATGTCTATAAATCAAAAAGATATCAGAAAGTTCCTTGTTTCCAAACAGGTTTCTGTCTTGATCAGAGTATGTTAATACCATACAATAAAAGAATGGAACATATTAATGTCATGCAATTAATTAATACAGAATTAAAGGTTCAATGATTCTATTTCAATTTGTAATTAAATTGTAAAAAAACTTTTGCAATAGGTGAAAAGTATGGCTGCTAGAGAACAGAATCAGAAAAATGCTGCCTACAATCTTGGAGTTGCTGAAGCCATAAGAAATCACAAGAATGAAAAACCTGAGTTTTATGTGAGTCTCTTTGAAACTTCTGTTGCTAATGCTGCCCCATCTGTGGGACTTGGGATCCATTCCCTGTGCTGCAGGTTGTGCTATTTTAAAGTGGATGAGTTGGAAAGTGGCCTGTGCAGCTTGAAGCTTTCTTCCAGGGCAGGTGCCCCATCAACATTCTTAGTCACAGTCTACTTCCTGTCATAACAAAACTTTCTGTTAATTAAAGTCATGGTCAGTTGTGTCCTAGGATGGGTTCTGGTGGTGGGCAAGAGCCTGAACTCGAGCCCTATGATCCAAGGAGAGAAATGGCAGCATTGGCATCATTTGGGAGCCTCCTGGATCTGCAAAATTCCAGGGCCTAGACATCCCCAATGAGATCTGTGCTGTAAGGTTTGAGAAGCCCCACTTCAGATGGGACCAAGCAACTTGACTCGATGCTTTCAACCATTGAGTGTGCCTTTATTTCTGCCTGAATCTTTCTTTTTTTAATACCAGTATCTATGTATTCTGATATTCTGTGCACAAAGACAATAAAATATGTATTTTTTTCATCATGAGACATATGTTGAACTCCTCTGAACTGGCCATTCTTCAACAGCTAGGATTATAAGTTTCCTCTTGTAAAGAGGTCTCAGTCTAGGGGAGACAGGCACTCAAAGAAATGAGTATGACATAGTAACTGCTTTGCTAAATCTTTGAAAAGAGTGATAAGCATGTGAGTAAAGAGGAGAGCCCGTTAATCCAGACCAGACAGATATGTAGGGATATTTCCTGTGTGTCAGAGTTAGATGAAGAAGTGACTGGAGGAAGAGCATTGCAGGGAGGGCAGCAGTGAGGGAAGGAAAGCCATCACTGGGCTTTGGACATTTCGACCTGCTCACTCTGCTTTCCTTCCTACATAAAAATTACAGGTTGTATTTATTGCTGCCCACTTTGTACCTCCTCTGATATATATCTTTAGCTATTTTAATCTCTAAGATGAAGAACTTTTGACTCCATCCTAATCCGTTCTCTCTTTTCATGTTAGCAAGTTGGCTGGACTACATTAATGCCATAGAATTAAACTTCTGCACAGGCTGGTATCACGAACCACTCAGTTGTACAAATATCATCACATCTAGCGGTGACTGATTTCCAGTTTCTTTTTCTGTGCCTCATATCCAACCATCTGCTGGTTCAATTGCATTCGTCTCCTATGTATATCCAATAGCCACTCAAATCTCTTCATCAATATTACCATCCTACTCTAAGATACAATACAGATGGCTTCTGTAGTATCTCCCTGGTTAGATCCATTGCTTTCCAACAGTATATTCTCTGCATAAACACTGAAGTGATTTTTAAAAAATTCCTTTTAAAAATGTGTATGAGTATATTGCATTCAGGTATGTAAGTGTACCCATATCATGCAGTGCCTGTGGAGGTCAGCAGAGGGTGTTGGATTCCTTTGGAACTGGAGTTATAGACAATTGTTAAATTGTTAGCCACCATGTGGGTGCTGGGAATTGACCTGGGTCCTCTGCAAGAGCGGCCAGTGCTCTCTCCCACGGAGTCATCTCTCTAGCCCCATTTAAATTTTTTTTTTTTTGTCTTTTTGAGACAGGGTCTCCCTCTAGCCCCAGATGGCCTGGAACTCACTATGTAGACCAGCCTGGCCTTGAACTCACAGAGATCCTCCTGCACTGCCTCCCCAGTGCTGGGATTTAAGATGTGTGCCACCACACCCAGTCCATTTAAGAATTCTTAATAAAAGCATACTAGCCAGGCGTGGTGGCGCATGCCTTTAATCCCAGTACTCGGGAGGCAGAAGCAGGCAGATCTCTGTGAGTTCAAGGCCAGCCTGGTCTACATAGGGAGTTCCAGGACAGCTGGGGCTGCAGGGAGACCCTATCTCAAAAAGACAAAATAAATAAATAATAAATAGATAAAAATAAATAAAAACGAAAGCATACTACCCTCCTGTCTAATTCCTCTACTGGTGTTCCACTGAATCAAAATGAAATTCATCATCCTTGCTTTGTCCTCTCAGACCCTACATGATTGTCTCCCTGTCTCTCTCTTTGAACTCATCGACTTCTACTTTTTGCTCAGTGTGCCTCACTTTTCTTTCCCGCTCACCGGTCATGCCTAGTCTCTTGTCACTTGTGACTCCTTCTGTTTGGGATGCAGGACCCCCTGCTGTTTGCAGTGGAGGTAATTTATTTCTCTTTATGTAAAAGCCTTCCCTAAGTGTCAGGTAATTTCACCCACTTCTCCATCTCTTGCTATGATCAGGGCTTCATAGCACTTATTGCAACCTTCCATGACCTGATTACTTGTCATTCTCTGTTTTGTGCACCAGAATGGAAGAGTGAGGATCCCAGATCAGCCGTGTCTAGAGTAGCCAGGCTCACAGTGGAAACTCAGTCTTAAAACTCCACTGGGCCCTTGGCCGTGGTTTTGTACACAGAATCCCTTCTTCCTTCCATCTGGATGTTGTAGACGCCAGCTCAGGATCTTTCCAAACAGGGGGCTGTGAGCTCAGCTTAGCTCACTATATCCTTGAACATACTCATATTACTAATCTGTGGGTTATCTCAGTATGAGCTGATCAGTATTTTGAGGACTGGGCAGATATTAGAAATTAAGCAATACTTTCTGGTTGATTTTAGTCTGAATGATCAACTTTACTTTTTGGTATGTGAACATAATAGAATTGCTTCTCTTTCATTTTAGAAATCTTTCCTGTTTGATAAACGGCCTTTTAGTTCTGAGATTAATGCTTTTAAGCAAGAGGAATACTCCCAAAGTCTCCTGAAACAAATGGAGAGCCGACGGGAGAAAGAAATAAAGCAGAGAGAAAACAGAGAGCTGATGGACCGCCTAGAACAAGTCCAACTCACAGAAGAGTGAGTCCACCAAACGTGCTCTGGGAAATGGAGTCAGAATTTTTGTGTGGAGCTAATTTCTACATGGGATTAAATAAACGTTCAAAGTTTCATTAGCACCACTGTAGCCAACTGAGCAAACTAACCCAGAATAATGTCTGGGGCTACAGGGAGACCCCGTCTCAAAAAGACCAAAAAAAAAAAAAGAAAGCCACCTTTACTGTATTTATAGTAACAATTATCCACCTAAAAATCACTGTAATTATAGAGCATCATTTTGTATTATTTTGTGATCACTAACACTGGTAGATGGAGGACAGAACATATCTTGAGTGGGCATCATTCCCCACTATGAGATGTTCGGGTGACCTCATGGCAAGGCTGAGGTCTTAGTATAAGCAAGTAGCGTGTCCCGTAGAACCTGAGGGAACAGCTGTGAGGAGAACACACTGAAACCAAGACTGAAAAGCAATGTGGAGTGGCCTTGCCCACAGAACCTTAGCTGACGTTACCTTTTTTTCCACCTTGAACTTGGAGCATAGTAGTCTCAGTTCCAAATTTTCAGGAAAGAGAATCTGATTGCTCAGATGGGTCAGGGCCATGAACTTCATAGCTGCCTAAGGGTGCTCCTGAAGTCAGGAGAGTAATTGTGGAGTCAGCTATAGCATGGGCGGAGTCTGCCACAATAAATAAGCTAGTTTCTATGGCCAGAAAATACATGCCTATAAAATGTATGTGTTCCATAATATTCAGTTTTGTATTAGGTATTTGGTGGTATATGGGTGTCCTGGAGTTACATATGATGAATCATAAATTGTATGACAGCCTACTTTTCTTCAAAAGGAATTTCACATTGTATCAGTTTATAGAAAGTATAGTCACCCGTTGCTTACTTATCTAGAGTTTTAAAAGATTTGTGTGTGTGCATGGGATAGGAGGGTAGCTGCCATTTTAGTCCTTATTGGACAAACTGGCCCGTGACTGCTTATACCTGTCCTGTTGGCCCTGTGTTCCACACATTGTTCACTAGCCTATGGACTTGAATTCCTTTTTTCCTATAATGAAAGCTCCCAGAATGAAACATTAATTTTTATCTATCATGCTCACATTCCTGTTAATACTTACTGAACATGTTTGGATGACATTACTATAGACTATGTAAAACTGCTCTCCTACCTTCTCCCATTCTTAAATACCAGACTTGCTGCTCAAAGAGCCAAATACTTAAAAGAGAAGGTGGAAGAAGCACAGTGTTACAAGAGAGCTTTGGATGCACAGGTAAGGAGATGATTATTATTTAAACTTACGCAGTGCTTCAACAGTAGTCTATAACTATGTGTTGATAATGTTGTGAATATGCATACATCTTATACATTTGGTTGTTTGTGAGCCACTGGTTCATTCCTGTAACCTTGGCCTTGGTATTCGGCTCTATTATGGGGCCTTGCACATTTATTGCTTAGAAGAATCATATCTGCATTATGTGCTTCCATTTCAGGTAAAGAACAAACCCTCCCAGTTGCCCATGTTTGAGCCAGACTCCACTGAGCCCATCTTTGGTAAGACTGAGGGTGAACTGGAGGTGGACAAGCGAAAGCGAGAGCAGAGTTACATGAAGCACCAGATGGAGGCCGCTGCTAGCCTCAAGAGGAATGCCATCCTGAACCAGCTCGCGGATCAGAAGCGTGATCTGCTGATGCTTCAGAGGACATACAGAGAGTAAGGAGACCCTCCATACAGCTCCCCCCCTTCCTCTTTACCACCTCCCTCTTCCTCTTTGGAACAGTAGCAGAGACTAAAAGCTAACATGTTGGGGAGCTGCACAAGACGTTAGCCTAAACTCATTACATGCTTCATCACATCTTATTCATATAATTCATCCAGTGAAGAGAAAGTTGCAGGATAAAACTGTTCTCTTGATCGCCACTTTTCCTTCAAGTTCCCGCTCCATATTTTCCTTCCATTACAGTATAACTTCTTTTTAAAAATACTTATTTTTATTATTTTTAATCATGTCTATGTGTGTTTGTCTGTGTGTGGGTATGTGCATGTGGGGGGATGCCTTCAAAGGCCAGAAGCATCAGATCCTCCTGAAACTGGGGTTACAGGCAATTATCAGCTTCCTGGCGTGGGTACTGGTAACTGAACTTTTGTTCTCTGGAAGAGTAGTACGCACTCATAACCACTGCACCATCCCTCCAGCTCCACTGTATAACTTCTTAAAAGAATCTTCCACCTCAATGGACCCATTACATTACAAAATGAGCCAGAAATATGTTGTCATGCTCAAGTAGATCCAAACCTGACACTCAGGTCCTTTCTCAGTTTCCAATGAACTCTGCTGGTGGTAGGGCAGGCAAAGGATACTTGTACCAACTGCATCAGTGCACAGATCTCTAAGGTCAAACATTAGACAGTTAGTTTCTTAGAATGTCCCATTGGTCACCTAGCCAGTATGGAATTTGTAAAGGTCCAAAGTGGCTCTCACTCAGCCTTGCAGCATCTTCATGCTCCCTCCCTACCTCCTATCATCCGTTTCTTGCTTCCTACCTTCACTCCAGATTGTTATAGGAAACTCCAGTTTCTTCTTTGTAGATTCCCAGTAGTTATTACATCCTTGATTAACCAAAACATCTCAGGCTTTCTGGAGTTCCAAAAAGGCTACTGTGCAAGGAAACCACTCTTTTAGAAGATACTGTATTAAAAAAAATTCATACTATTAATTTTAACTAAATTTTAGAAATGGTCCCAGTGGGATACATAGGTCTGTTATATACTGTGCCAAGTTGGCTGAGACATGAGTTGAGGAGTAGGTTGAAGATGATAAGGATGGGGTTTGGTTGTTGGTAGACAGGGCTGGGAGAGGTTAAAAGCATGATGATTATTTTCTGGTAGAATCATAATCTTCATTCTGTGTTTCCTTGCTTTAGATAAAAGGTAAGTCCTCCCAGAGACTCAAGTCTAATCCATTCAAGGATTTTGCATGTTCCTAAAATATTGTGTTTTGTATGGTCCTAAAATATTGTATAATTTTTTATTCATAAATTTTCTAACACATTGAGCTATTTTCATACTTAATGATAAATAACTGTTGTCCCAAGTCCAACAAATGTATGTCTTCTGCCCAGACCGGTTCAACCCCTCCCTTGAACTCCCATCCCATCTTCTCACCTGGCCCCCAGACCTCTTCCTGGGTCCTTTCTGATTGGTTGGTATTTTATCATTTTATTAATTTTGTGATATAAAGCAGGCACATACCTCTGAGGGTACTGTTCTTTTTATTATATTAGGGCTAACAGAAGAGAGTTAGATAATCCTTTCTTTTTTCATTTTGAGACAGAGGCTCACTATGTAGCTCTGGATGGCCTGGAACTTTCTATATAGACTAGGCTGGATGCATAGCTTGTTTATAATTGGATAAATGCCTAAGAGTGGCAAGGCTGATAAATAGATATATATTTAACTTTTTGTTTCAAAAGGATGTCACATTTAGCCCAGGCTGATCTTATGACACTCTTGTATCTGCCTCCTGAATGTTGGAATTATAGGCATGAGATACCCTTCTCAGACTTATATTTAGCTTCTAAAAAAGTGTCAAAACATTTTCCGAAGTGTTGCGTTCTTTTATGTTCCCATATGTTTACGTTTGACAATTCTGGTTCCTCTCTATTTTTGCCAACAGTTGGCATAAGCAGTGTTTTTCTCTGCTCTAAAGAGCATGTAGTGGAGTATACATCTCATGCTTTGATTTGTAATTTTCTGGTGACTTATGATGTTGAACATTTTTTTATGTGACTAGTTGCTATATATACACATCGTCTTAGGCCAAATACCTGAAACATCTGGTCAAATTTAATGTTTTTTGTTTTAGATATGCTAGACAAGTACTCTACCACCAAGCTACTTCCCCAACCCTCCTCATTCTTCTTTTAACTTATTTATTTTTTATTTAATGTGTATGGGTATTTTGCCTACATGTAAGTGCACCACATGTGTGCAATGCCTGTGGAGGCCAGAAGAGGGCATCCTGTCCTCTGGAACTGGAATTACAGATAGTTGTTAGCTACCATATGGGTACTGGGAACTGAACCTGGGTCTTCTGAAAGGGCAGCCAGTGCTCTTAACCATTGAGCCATCTCTCTATCCTCTCATTTGTCTTTTTTTATTGAATTTTTCCTTATTGTTGAGCTTTGAGAATTTGTATATAGTTTGTAAAAAAATGTTCATCAGGTATCTTTGTGAACCTTAAGACATATTTGTGTGCCTGAGGGGAAATACCCCTTCCTTCTGGTGTTTTTAATTGCATTCCTTTGGGAAAGCACTCTACTCTTTTTTGCTTATAGCAGAGGGACAGTCACCACTTCCCTCCTGCTGTCTCTGCCTTCCAGTCAGGGCTGCCATAGCCAGACCTATGGCCTCTGCATTTGTTACTGACATCATTGCAGCTTCCTCTTCTGCTTTTAGTGCCTTGATTCTCAGTCATCATCAACACTTGGAATCAAGAATCCAGCAGTATGGAATGGGTCAGATCACATGTCAGGTCTCATAGGAAAAGTCAGGATAATCACACTTACCCTGCCTCTTCTTACTTTAAGAATTACATGAAGTCCTGTGAGAATGTATGTAAACTGCAATGCTCTGAATAAATACAAGCTACTGTCATAGTCAACCCCTACTGGAGTTCTGGTGTAAGAGCCTCCTTTCTGTGTGGATAGATCCTTGTTTTCCATTCCTATACCTTTGCAGGTTAGTCCAGATTCTCTTATTTCCCTTATTTTTTCTAACTCTTTGGTCCTTCTCTGGTCCATCTCAAGGTGTGAGTGTGGCTTCTTCTAGCAAATACAAGGCTATATGCAGAGGGAATAATAAAGTCAGTGTGATCCAAACAGCCCTTTTTATACTTGTGCTTTTCCCTCTTTAAGCATTTCTGCTTTTATGCTTATTCATTCATTGATGGTATGTTATTTGTTGGAGAGATTAATGAAAAGGTTTGAAAAGTTATGACTCTTCCCTACCAAGTAGTCAATATTAGCTTTAATATATAACTTTCTACATTTTCCTATTCCTTATAAATATATTAAAACAGTATGCACATATATGATACATTATTAGGCTAAAGGTTAGGTTGTATAGTAATAGATAAGATCTCATAGACAGCATTCCCACTTTCAAAAGTGAAAGAAAAATATGTGCATACTGTTTCAATGGTAATATAATATCTACAATATGGAATGTTGTAATTTAACTTTTGCACTAGTGATGACTATTTATTTTACTTCTAGATATATTCATAATATTTTGCTATTATGGAAATTCTTCATTAACATTCTTTTTAAAAAAACCTTAAATTTTTATTTATTTATTTTTGTGTGTAGTAGTGTTTTGCCTTGTATGTATATAAGTGTACCCATGCATGTAATGCTCATGGAGGCCAGAAGAGGGCTTTGGATCCCCTGTAACTAGAGTTGTGGATGGTTGTTAGCTGCCATGTGGGTGCTGGGAACTGAACCCAGGTCCTCTGCAAGCAGTCAGTGCTTTTAACCAATGAGCCATCTCTCCAGGTCCTAAAAAAAATATTTTGAAATCATTTTGACATATTTATGGGCTACATCATTTCAATACATGTACATATTGTGTCCGTCAAGTCAGGGCAATAAGCAATTCTGTCTCTTTATGAATTGTCATAGACTGTGGTTACCTTACTATGCTATAGAACATCACAATTGATTCCTCTCATAGTTATTTTGGTACATGTTATCCACTCTCTGTTCCCATCTACCCTTCTCAGTTTCTAGTCAGTTTATTCCTCTACAAGATGGTTTTTTAAAAAAAACATAGCTTCCACAATGAGTGAGAACATGCAGTATTTATTCTGTGTCTAACTTACGCCACTTAATAGTGTCTTCCAGCTCCACCCACATTGCCACTAATGACAGAACTTCTTTCTATGAATGGAAGATATTCACACTCAATATCCATTGAGTGTATATGTCACATGTGCTTAGTCAACTATAGATAGACATTGTGTTGCTCTTCCTTCTTGGCTACTGAGAATAGAGCTGCTGCGAACATCACTGTGCAAATATCGCTTTGAGATCCTGTTGTCAGATCTTCTAAAACTTTATGTGATGAGTGTATTGCCTATATGTGGGTAAGTGCAACTGTGTGGTGCAATGCCCTTGAAGGTCAGAAGAGGGTGTTCGATTCCCCAGAACTGGAGTTATGGATGGTTGTTAACTGCTGGGTAGGTCTTGGGAATTGAAGCTGGGTCCTCTGCAAAAGCAGCCAGTGTTCTTAGCTGCTGAATCATCTCTCCAGCCCCAAGATCTCTTGGCTGTATATCCAGAAGGGGAAAATTCAGACACATGCAACAATGTAAACAGATTTTGATAACTTTATGCTAAGTTCTCAGATAAGTGAGTCACAAAATAGTATAATTACCTCTTCTATGAGAGATCTAGAAAAGTCAAGTTCATAGAAACAGAAAGCAGAATGATGATTGCCAGGGGCTGAGGGAGGGAGGGAAGTGTTCTTCAATGGGCAATGCAAGGTGTAAAGATGTCTGGAAATGGGTTGTACAGCAGTGTAAAGAAGTAACTGCATACCTAAAACTTGTTAAAATGGTCATAACTTAAAAAAAAAAAACAAAAACAAAAACCCACAACTAAAACATTAAAAAAAAATGAGAAAAATAGATACCAGTCAGTGATTCTTGTCCTGTGATGGGTACTAGTGTGTTCGGTGTATTTTAATCTTCGTAATAGTCACACAATAGCAATCGGATCAATGATTGCTAGATGAAAAGGTGGCCAGGTGGCTTTAGGAAAAAGTGACCCAGTTGAAGACAGTACTTATTTTTGTCAGAGTATCCTGACACCTAGTGGCTATTGTCACCTTAATGGGAAGCTCTTCAGAAGAGGCCACTTCCAATGGTCGCATTTAGTCAAGCTCCTTAAGACTTAAAAGACAACCAATAGCAAACGTTTCATTTTGGCAAAAAACAGGCACATATAAATAATTTGAACCAGACTTATGGTGATTGGAGACCAGTGATGGAGACATGTCACCACACTGAACTTGAGACACCGCAGTCACTTCTTAGGCCACGTGACTCTCACCAAACATTCTTTTTTCCCGTCTTTTCTAGATGCTAGGTATTTTGTTATCTTTTTTCCTGTTTACTCACATCTCTTTCTTTTCTCCATTCTAGATTTTAATATGTATGGCTCTTTGTCTTGTAGAATGCTTCTGGCAGCCAAGCATGATGACACACTCCTGCAATCCCAGCAGTCTGGAGGCTGAGGCAGAAGGGTTTAGAGTTCAAGGCTACCCTGGGCTACTTAGGCAGACCGTCTCTCAAAAGGGTGAAAAAAGCCTGTAGCAACCGCTAGGCTGATTACTGAGAGCTGAAAGACAAGAGTCACAGTAAAGAAACAGTATAGGAAATCCATTTGGGATGAGTCTTCACATGAATTACATTAGCTTCAAAGGAAATTAATGGCGTTCGAAGCTGAAGTTGTTAATTGGAAAAGGATTTTAATCCTGGTCATTTAAACCAGGGTGGAAGATGAAAAGTCCTAGAATCATCCATCATTTGACAGCTGGGAGTTTCACTGTGCTTTTTTAGCATATTTGAAAGAGTAATGAACAAAACTAGAAAGCTTTCTATTTAATTTAAGATGAAAGAAATAGGGCTCCCAAGGTCAATGCACACCCTTCCAAGTAATACCAATGGAGTCAGGCTGTTCTTTTCTCTACAGGCACTTGGCAGACAGAACTGCTGAGCTGGATCGAGTGAACAGAACCAACCAATGCTTGCAGGAGGACTGGGAACGGAGCGTTGCAATGAAGAAGCAGCGGGACCTGGAGGAAAAGGCTTTTGAGCGGTAAAACCTGATTGGAACCAGATGTTCTTTGTTTGCAAGAACTTTCGTGCATACAATCTTCTTGTGTATTTTCCTCTAATTCTGGGTGGGCAGATAAGTGCCAATTCCAGTTGATTAGTAGTGGCTGTCTAGAAAATTTTGTGGAGAAAGCAAGTCTGTGTTTAGTGAGAAATTCTGCTTTGATTGATTAGAAATGTCTGCCATGGATGAAGGGCTGGACATACTGTCTTGTATGTCAAGTGTTGACCAACCCTGCCCTGATCTTGGTGGTTTTACTTTGTGGAGGGTGGGATTCTTTTTGGAAAGAATACTTGGAAGTAGGGAGAGTGTTTCTGCTCTGAACTCTTCCAAAGCTTATGGATGGTTATTTAAAGGCACAGTGAAGGAAAGATTAACAATGGGAAAAATGAGAAAATGAGGTGTGCATCGTGGAGTCGTCGTTGTGGTGCCCCCCCCCCGCCCCCGACTGTATATTTACAAATCTGTCTTTGAAAATGAGCACTAACTTTGGAAAGGCTGCCAATCTTTGTCTTATTCTTTATTTGTAAAAGGGGAAAGTAAATTATTGCCCGACCAAACAAACACAGGAGTTTTAGACCTAAAAATAAAAAGGGAAAGTATTATACTTTGAAAAAAATGGAAATATTTTACAAATTTAGGGTAAGAGTTTATAAAATGTTAAAACCCAAATGAAGCAGACCCCATCTATGCAATTAGATTACTAAAACTGAATACAGCAAAATAACAGTTTAAATGACTAATTTTCATTTTTTTTTAGATTTTTTTCTTTTAATTTATGTATATGTGTATGTCTCCCAGTATGTGTATGCACGTATGCATGTGGGTGCCTGCGGCAGCCAGAGGAGGATGTCAGATGTCCCCCAGAGCTGGAGTTATAGGCAATTGTGAACCACCTCACATGGGTGCTGCAAACTGAACTTGAGTTCTCTGTAGGAGTAGCAAGAGTTGTTAATCACTGAGTGATCTTTGTAGCCTCAATATTTTTTTAAATTAGGACTCTTAATCTGTAACTTTTTCCTTTTAGATTTTCCTGTAAAGCATTTCTCACCTGTCTTCCAAATGGGTGGAACTATTTTTTTAAATTAATTTGTTATTTATTTTTATTTTATGTGTATGAGTGTTTTGTCTACATGTTTTAAGCACACCCATGTCATGAGGTGTCCTCAGAGGCCAGAGGATCCAACATCCTTTTGGATCCCTGGAACTGGAGTTATGGATAGTTGTTAGCTACCATGTGGGTGCTGGGACTTGAACCCAGGTCCTCTGGAAGAACAGTAAGTGCTCTTAACCACTGAGCCATCTCTCCAGCCCTGGAACTCATGTCATAACTATGTAAGTAAGAGAGATAACATGGAAAACAGGTTCAAAGGAGAGGTGGGGTTGTTTGATCTAGAGAAGAGGGAGGGAAGAGGGAATTAGAGAGTTTAAACTATTTTCTGAATGCTGTGGAAAAGCAGGCAAGAAGCAGTGATATTAATGCCAGCAAGATTTTATTTGGATTCAGAGGAATGCTTGGCTAACAAGATGATGAGAGACAGAGGAATCACAGGAAATAATATGAGCTCAAATTACACATTTGCTCCAGGGACATGATAGAGCAGATGTGCTACTTGGTGTCTTGGGCCAAGCTATGGTGGGCAGATACTCAAGCAGGCAGCAGATAGGAAGGAAGAAGGAAGTAGCTGGTGTAAAAAGAAAACCAAGCAAAAACAAAAGCAAGGGCCATGTGTATGGTGTCAGCTCATGCTATCCTCCGTCATTTCCAACACAATCCAGGTAGGTCTTACAGACCCCTTCCATCGTTATTTTTCCTTCTGAAGATACCACCCCCCCGATGTGTGTTCTTGTACATGCAGATGCATGTGCCCTTGAGTGCATGGGCCTGTGGAGGCCAGGGGTCAACATCAAATGTCACTCCTCAGAGGTCATCTACCTTGCATTTTGAGACAGAGTCTCTCACTAGCCTGGAGCTTGCTAATTAGGGTTAGCTAGGCTAAGCTGTCTGGTTAGCAACTGCCAGGGTACATGGGTTCAGGGGATCAAGCTCAGATCTTCATGCTTGCATGCAAGCACTTTACCGACAGCTCATCTCTCCAGCCCCGCAGACGCTTCTTTTCCAGAATTCTGCCCTTGCAGACTTTATTTGGATTCAGAGGAGTGCTTGGCTAACAAGATGGGGCATGGAAGCACACCTGACTGGCTTGCAGAACCCAGAACTGTCCAGGTGGAGAATGAGTCACTGCTGTCCTTCATCTCCACTTCCTGCTGCTTTTACCCTCCTCCTATTCTCCAGTTTCTCTCCCTTAACTCTCCAGAAGCACTGGCCTCTGGCCTCCTGGGAATTTTCTTTGCAAGTCAATCCTAATTCTTTGCAGGTGTTAGGTGTTACCAGTTAACCAGCAGTTTAATGGCTTGACCCCCACCCCCCACCCCACCAACCCCCCAAGCAAGGTCCTGGAGGAGTGAGAGGCAGCAGGCTTTGGGGGCTACCTTAGATGACTGGGTTATCATGGACTCAGTGTGCTCGTCTGCATTAGGTGTGTGTAGCTGTATGTGAAGGGAGAGACAGACTGCTGGGAAGGTACCAGGTCACAGCCTTTACTTTAGTGGAGATTTGGAAGCAGGGGATGTCAGAATATGGGCTGAGCTGCAGGTAGCAGGGGTGGTCAGAGCTTTGACAGCAGGGGCCAGGTATTTCTTTTCTCTCTGCCTTTAGGGACTTGGGGGACCCCTGCTGACACCTGCTTTTACTTTCCTCTTCTCAGGGCTTCAGACAAGCTGTTCCTCTTGGACCAGTGTGAGAAGTATGGGCGCTGCAGGCAGTGCCAGAGGCGGACCTCCAATGTGGGCGAGAGTAACGTGTGGCCCCTGAACAAGTTCCTGCAGGGCTCCCGGCTGCTTGTGTAGAACTCAAAGTTCCCTGGGGAACAGGAAACTATCTTTTACTTGTTTGGAGTGATTGAATATTTGATAAGTAAAAAACTATCTTTTACTTGTTTGGAGTGACTGAATATTTCAAGTGTGTATATTTGTACCTCAGAGGAAAAAAGGAGTGAGTGCTTTCAGTAAATTGCTTTTTAATCCCTTGTTGAATTCACATGGACAAATTATCCCCATCCTATCCTGCCTTTCTCTCATCCCTACTTATTCCTGAACTTGGCTCTGATGGTAGTGAAGGTATCTGAATGTTTTGGAGCTAGAACCCATTTCTGTGCGGTGTGGGAATGGAACCACTTTATGCTGGATGCTGAGGTGGTGATGACCCTGCTCTATGACACTTTTCCAAACTTCATCCTTTTTTTTTTTTCATCTGTAATGAATGTCATAATAAATCTTTTCCAAGTACCTGACTATGCATGATTATTGATAATGGTAAATCTTGTCCCCTTCCCCAGACTTAGACTTTTTATAAATATTTTTGAAAATTTCATACATTTATACAATGTATTTTGATCATAGTTATCCACCACTTTTTCCAATCCCCTTTAGTGTCCCTCCCATCCTTCTCAACTTCATGTTTGCCTTTTTTTGTTACTAATAGCTCCTTCAGTCCAATTAGTGCCTGAGTATGGGACCATCTACTGGGGCATGGACAACTTACCAGTGGCCACATCTTCAAAGGAGAATGGCTTTCCCCTTCTCAGCAGCTGTCAACTACCAATAGCTCCTATTCCAAGGGCGGGCCTCAGGAGTTTGTCCCCCATCCACGCTAGAATTTTGATTTGATTGAACTTGTGCAGGTCTTGTGCAGGTGACCACAGCTGTTGTGAGTCAGTTCCTCCCCCATCCATGCTAGAATTTTGACTTGACTGAACTTGTACAGACTTGTGCAGGTAACCACAGCTGCTGTGAGCCAGTGTGCACCAGTCATGTCATGTCCAGAAGTCAGTGTCTCACAGCTTTCTTTCCCATCTATCTGCTCTTACATTCTTTCCACCCCCTCTTCCTCAATGTTTCCTGAAAATGAGGGGAGGTTGATATAGCTGATTGATCCATAGCTTAGCACTCACAGTTACTTACACTCAGCATTTTGGCCAGTTATGGATCTCTGCATAAATCATTATTTACTGCAAAAAGAAGCTTCTCTGAGAGCAGCAAAAATTTCTGGGTGTAGACATAAATATTTAGAAGTCGCTTTGACAGCATAACCATTTAGCAAAATATGAACAGAAGGTTACCCATTAGAGCCTGTGATCTCCCCAGTCATGGGCTTTTAACCACATGAAATCCCTCCTGTGAAACAGGCCTCATATCTAATCTGAAAGCAGTTGCCTATCCCCATAACAGTCACGCCACTATTGCACCAATAGGTATATCTTGCCTAGCTAGTTGGTATTATAGCATTCAGGGTTCAGTGTTGGGTGAAATCACTGATGACTTTTCCTCAACAGCAGCCTGCATAGCACCTTCTGACACTATGAAAACTACCCAGAGGGGAGAAAGTTTTCAGATCAGTTCCAGCTTGATTTTTCTATGTCCCGCAACCAAATTATGTTGTATAGTCAGCAATAGGGTCTTACTATCTAGCTATGGTGGGCAGTTTCAAGAGCAATGATAATAGTCTGTGTTGTTTTGAGGAGCTCTCTGGGGCCTCCCTGATCAATAATTTGTAGGGCAGTATCCCATACCTGGCACTCAGATTTTCATTTCGATCCATATATTAATTGTACTTGGGTCCACGGGTAAAGGAGCTTGCTGCATAGTCTATGGATCTGAATTTGATCCTAGAACCCACATGATGGTAGGGAGGAAAGAACAGACTTCCACAAGTTGTCCTCTGATCATCACACCTATGGTGCCGTGTGTGTGTGTGTGTGTGTGTGTGTGTGTGTGTGTGTATGTGTGTGTAAGGTCTGGGTTCCATCCTCAGCACTGCATAAAATGGGTGGTGCACATCTATAATCTCAGCCCTCAGGAGGTGAAGACAGGAGAATTAAGAGTTCAAAGTTATCCTTGTCTACATAGTAAGTTCAATGCTAGCTAGAGTTACATGAAAACCTCTTCAACCCTAAAATAAGTCAGACTGAATTGAAAAAAAAAATCTAGTGTTTCCAAGAGTTAAAACACAAAGCACATGGATACAAGGCTGGGGGCCTTCTGCTCCTCCCTCCCATGTCCCAGTGTACCTCCCTGCTCCTCCCTCCCATGTCCCAGTGTACCTCCTTGCTCCTCCCTCCCATGTCCCAGTGTACCTCCTGCTTCCCTGCAGCCCCTAGCAGACCTCAGCTCCCATTCTCCATCCCTTCTTAGCCTCTCTTCCCTAGTGCCCCCTCCTTCAGCAGTAGTGGGGAGAGGGTGGGCAGTATTAGCTCTTGATCCACCCCTGCAATTGGGGAGGAGGGGTGTTTGTCACACTGGCTTTAAAAGAGAGGGCTTGTGATGCAAGGGCACCTGGCAGCATGTGGATTGGTCTCCTCAGGAGTCTCAGAGCTGCTGGCCAGGGGAGGCCTTGGTGTCCTTGGTGTCTCTTTATCACTGCCTGCTCCAGCCCCTGGGGCTGCTGCCTGTGTCACCTCCTGTGTTGCTTGCACGGAACTGACTATGATTAGGATGTCGCCTTTCAGGAGTAAACGTATTCCCTTCTGTGGTGTTCTTGGTCACACATTTGTGGAGTTTCTGAAAGGCCCTGGGATGTATTAGAAGTTGCTTATTACCTATTACTTTGGTTTGAAGTGTGACACTTTCCTGTGTTTTTCCAACACAAACATGAATGAGTTTCTACTAATCAACTGGACATTTAATATTTTGTCTTTTGAACTATCAACTTAATATTAGGGTGATTGATAATTATTTATATTGTGAGATTGATAAAATGGTGCTATGTCTTACTGTTAAGACAACCATATTTTGTCTCTGGGGAAGAATGGCTAGAGTTCTATGGGAGAAATAACTGGTTCATGTTTGGCTCACCAAGTCGCATAAGAGCTTAAACATCTGAATAGATGATGAATTGCAAGAGAGACTTCCAAGATGGTATAATAAAAGCAAGTGCATTTTTAAGAAAACCACAAGTTTCATAGTTTTGAGTCCACCATGTTATAACAATTCTAAATTTTATACATCTAATAACACGGGCCAAAATATATAAAGTAAATATAGTCAAAACTACAAGGAAGATTGAAAAGTTGACCATAGCTGTGAGAATTTTTTTACCAGTTCTCTTTAAGAAATAAATCAAGTAGACAAAAATTTGTAAAATGTAGAATTGAGGAAAATAACAAACTTAATCCCATGAACAAATAAAGGGCATCCAACTGTGTTAGCATACACACAACCTGAACTACTCTCTTAAATTTGATCATGCATTTGGCAGAATGCCACTCCCCAGCAAATTTAAGAATATTTAATTCACAACAAATTGAACATAATGATATTAAGAAAAAAGTATCTATATACTTTATGTAGACATATTTGGAGTTTTGAAAATCTTATGTCCAGAGCCTGCCACTTCTCTACATACAATAGATCATGGAAGCCCAAGAAATTGCCTACAATTAGGAAAATACGAAGAAACTTCAGGCATCATATGTTTAAAGATCTGAGGGAACTTTGAGAGGAATATGAATTAGGAGAATAGGAATTCCACAGAAAGGTAGCCTTTCTGAAATAGGCGGCCATTTTCCTTTCTGATTCTGAACATGGGATACAAAAGACCAGGTTTGGTTCTGAGGAAAAGAGAACTACAGCAGGGCTACTTATTTATTTATTTATTTATTTATTTATTTATTTATTTATTATTTATTTAATTTTTGGTCTTTTTGAGACAGGGTCTCCCTGTAGTCCCAGCTGGCCCAGAACTCACTATGTAGACCAGGCTGGCCTTAGAACTCACAGAGGTCCACCTGCCTCTGCCTCCCGAGTGCTGGGACTACAAGCATGCACCACGACACCTGGCTTTTAACAAGGCTATTTATTTTAAGGTGGTCATGTGGAGCTGGTACAAGAGATCAGACAATTAGAAAGCTTAGCCAGATCACTCCATCTGTTATAGGTTAGATTCCTCAGGAAACAGACATTAAGTCTCAGATTTTTATTCAGAGATTTACTGGGGGAGTCTTCACAAGGACTTACTGCTTAATTTTCTTCTAGAAACATAGTTTTAGTTTTTACATTTAGGTCTATGAGATGGGATAGTCTTGATTGAGTACTAGCACCAAGGGAGCTGATGCTGAAAGAATAAGACCTGAGCAAGAGGTGATTGATGGCTCTCCTAACTACTCTTCTAGAAGTCTAATAGCTCACCTAGCTTGTCACTGAGAGATAGTCATGTGGTACCTATCCGTTATGAGCAGTGGAATCCTGGCTGAGTGGCAGCAGGGGTAGGTCCCTAAACATGATTTATATAACGAAATGAGATTAGAAGCAGATATTCCAAAAGGTAATACTGGGTCACAAGCTCTTTCTCTATCTCTGTAGTGTGGGCTCTCTTGGACATATGGGAGGTAAAGGGTTTGACATAACTGGCCCAAGAGACACCCAGGACAGGCTGACATCACCTCTATAAGAAAGCTGCCCTAAGTTGCTCAACTACTTCAAAGGGTGGAAGGGAGTGTATGTTCAGAGCTCGGAAAATGAGATCAAGTCTTCCTTCGGACTCTCTGTGGTGTCCCCTCTCATTGCCCTTCTTTTTCCTTATTCTCTGGCAAGCTGACCCTTCCCACCCACATTTCTCTATTTTTCCTTTCAGTAATGACAGAAAGGAATGTCAAATACTTAGCAACTCATAAGGCAGTGAGCATTCCTGACTAGTGAGCAAGCTGCCCTAGCCGCTCAACCCTTACACCCAGATGGTTCTTGGAGGGAATGTATTCCTCAGACAGGGATTGAACTCCCTCATGGGAGGACCACATTTTCTGGTGGGTGGCTCTGATTACATTTCTTGAGACTCGATGACTTAACCCCTCCTTTAGTCCTGGGATTCAGTGCAAGCATGGCTCTCCCTGACCCTTCTTTGTGTCCTCATAGGAGATGTCCTCTCTTCTTTGAGCATGCTGACTTTGTATGAACATTTCATGGACATAACACTTTCTCTTATGAAAACTGAATTGTGTCCAATATACCAGCGCTCTATAAAAGTAGGATTCTAGGCAGAATTCTGTATTTCCCATAAAACTTAGTTAACAGCAACTAATGAATGAAGAAATGTTTGGAGAGGAACTCAGAAAAACTGAACATCCAAGGACCCCCAGGAGCAAGCTATTATTCACTGTGTGCCTCAGCATGTCCCCTCATAGCAGAATACTCAACTAATTGACAAACAAATCAATGAACAAAAATAACCACAGTGACAAGGTTGGCCATTTTGGAACCATTTATATTATATTTCTTCGGTCAGCCCCCCAAAACCCCGAGTGCATTAGACTGTCTGAATATTCATAGCTTCCTTGGGCCAACTGTAGCTGTCCAGTGTGAAGGAGTCATAGTCTGGAGTATAGATGAGAGACCTTACAAAAGCCTCCTTGTCCTTGGGCTCTGGATAGTAGGAGGCCAGGTTGTGTTTATACGCATAGTCGAGGACCTAGGGAAAAACATGTTTGGCTGAGGATCTAGCTCTTTGCGAAAAGCTGCCTTGAAATCCCTTGCTTGGCAGCCAGGGCGTGGGACTATGCCCTGAAGCACCAGACAGGGTCACCCATGAAACCACTGGACAGCAAGGATTTAAACTTTCTACCTAAATAGTACTTGCTACTTTTCCTAAGAGGCTAGTAGTCCATCTCTCCCAGAGAACAGTGAGAAAGGTCCATATCCAGTGCCCAGGCCCAGGGCCAAGAGACCCAGTCTAAATTCTGCCTGCTTCTAATTTCCTGTGGTTTCCAACCATGATATTATACTTGACGAGCCTCAGTTTATTCATAACAGAGTAATGATACCTTTCTTAAGTGATGTGAAGATAAAATTAGGAAACAAGTATATAGCCCTCACAATCCTTCCCCATGTGGGTTGAAGAAACTGAATTGGATGGCCATCCTGCACGCTGTTCTCTGGGTATTTGATTTGGCTTCAAAAGAATGTGAATAAATAACACCCAAAGGAAAGGACTGGACAGGATGGGCTGGAGTATGATCTGGATTGCTGGACTTTAGGACTGACTCTTGAGGGTTCCTGCACTGGACAACTCATGGTGAACATGTATTACTGTGTAGTGCATTTTCTGAAATTATTCTTTTAAGTTATAGACAATAAAACACACACTAATGGAAATAATAGAATAATAATTCCGCGATGCACCCATTATCCTGCTTTGATAATGATTATTTGAAAGTCCATCATGTCTGCATATCTCTTTCTTTGAGCTGGATCATCCCACCACCCCTTGAAGAGCCCACTCTGAAAGAGGTCTCTACTCTGGCCAGGCAGGAACTGGGTGTGAAAACCTCTCATTTTTTTTTTTAAAGTTTTTTATGTTCACAGAACACATCTTTATTTAGTCTAGTTCTTTCTATCACAATGTCCTTTCATTCCTTCATAATCACTTAGCTTTCAGACCCTTCATTGATGGGGCCATGCCACAGCCAGTTAGGCTTTAACACACAGCTCCTTAGCCCTGCTCAGCCCACCATGCACCCTTTACAAATATCTGGACAGGCACGTGTTCACATCGCTTCCATGACTGTGACAGGCAGGAAAGTGCAGTGTCCACTGCCAGTCCACCATGTTCCCTATGCTGTACTTCAGGACGGCCCTGCACAACAGTCTGCTACAGAGCAACTGGTCTGTAGATGTTCTTTCCAGGGTGGCCATCATTGGGAAACACTGTTCTCTTTGAATCGTCAGAGGTCTGGGAGAGAGGAACTACTGACCCCTTTGGATAAGGGGCAACCTAAGGTTGAGGGAAGTGAAAAGATTGGGCCAAAGTTACGTGTTGATTGGCAGAACAGGGACTCTGAAGCCCTCCCCAGTCCTTCCTACGATGCAATGCAAGCTGACCTTTCTTATAAATGGGTGATTATGATTCACTTAAAAAAAGTTCCACCCACATTCTGGTTCACAAGACCATGTGCTCCGATGACCTTTCTGCCTGATGTTTGTGGGGGAAGTCTGGAACTTTCCTAGAACTGGTCTGGGTGGGTGTTTGGAATGGGACTCAGGCTGTGAGCAGGCAAGAATTTGTCATCCAGCCTTTTGGTTTCAAGCAATAAAGATGAAGGGGCTTAGAATATTTCCACAGCTGCCATCCCTTTAGCTCTCCCGCAGTCACAGCAAGTAGTTGAGTCTTACTACCCATATTGTAGGGGTTGGGGTGGGATGTGCCTTACTTTGACTGCAATTCTCAGAGAGACATCTCGGATGGTGCTGAGTGGTGGGTACAGTCTCCCCTGAGACAGATGCTGTTCAGAGACCTCTTGGGCAATTTGCTGGAGAGACAGGTGAGAAAGAGAGGTGGGAGAGGGAGAAGTAGAAGAGGAGGGTGAGGAAGAGGAAGGGGAGAGGAGAGAGAGAAGAGAGATAATGCTTAATCTTAGGCTTAAACAAGGACACTTCTTTTGTACTAAGTCTGGCTGAGGTTTAAAACAGCATGGGGCTCTTTGAATTCTAACGGGAAATTACTAAGACCAAGATGAATAAACCTATGACTTGCAAAGCAAAGTCTATGTCCTTTGGTTGGTCACAACCTGTTACACAGGGATCCCTGGGTCCCAGCATTTTCCCACCTGCTTGGTTATCATTCTGGGTGGCCATTTAAGCAAACTGTTGTCTCTATGTTTAGGGCTCCATGCATTTTCCTTTTCAGCATTGTTCCTGGTCTGATGTCAGGGTTGGGGTGGGGTGGGTATTAGAGAGAAGAGAGGAGAAATCCAGGGCCCTTTGGACTTAAAGACTTGGTGGTGAACCACAGGCCCTATTAAAAGCACCTGAGGGAGGGAAGAGAGTGGTACCTCTGCTGTCAGGAGGAAGATCTCATCTGGGATATGCCGAATCCTGCTGGCAATGACTCCCAGTGCTACCCCAGGGAACACATAGGCATTGTTTCCCTGCCCAGGGGTGAATGTCCTGCCATCTTCCAGCGTCACACTCTTAAAAGGACTTCCACTGGCAAAGATCGCTCGTCCCTGGAGGCAGGAAGAAAAGCAGAGTTGGAACTTGGAGGCTGGTTTGGGGCAGTTACTACAGCCTAGTCTTATCTCTCAAATGGTGGCCTCATCTCCATCCTCTCCCAAGTGTCCAGAACTGTGGTATGGAATTGACAAGTAATTTGTTTGACCAAAAAGCTCAGCTCCACTTTCCTTCCAGATTACTGACAGCGGAGGTCATAGTACCTCTTTACTTGACACCTCCTGGGAAAGCCAACCCAGGGCAGTTGCCTAGAGTAGATGGAAGCTTTGGGTTCTGGCCAAAGCACTATGTGGTGGGAACTTTGAACAGTGTAGCATCATGATAAGTGATTGGGCTTTGGAATCAAACCAAGGTTTGAGGACCAGCTCTGTTCTTTGTTAGCTCAGTGATGTTAGGTAGTTGTTTCATCTTTCTAAACCTCAAATTTCTCACAACGGTGGAGAATTTTTTCACCCTTGTAGGGTTACTGGTAGTAACTGTCACTATGTCCTCTCAGCTGGGGAGAGGAAGGACTCCCCGCTGACCTCGGTGACCCGGTAGCACTTCTCAGCTGTGCACTCGGCCTTGCTGGTGGGGTTGCTCAGGGCAAAGATGATAGGGCGCTCGTGGAAGGAGGCCATGTCCTTCAGAATCTGCTCCGTGAAGGCTCCTGCGATGGCGGCAACACCTATAGGGAAAAGGGGGGAGTAGTGGGGATGCCTACTCTGTATAAACACCCCATTCCTCTCCTGGTGGCACTGGTGAGGGAACTGGGTACCCCATGACAGACTTGGGAATCTTGGGGATGGTATTTGCTGAAAGGAGTGAGGGAGCAACAGGGAGAAGAGGCTTTTTGCTTGAGCTTTATGAGATCCTGTGTTCATTCCAGGGAGACCACTGGTCCACTTCAGGTCTCGGATAGTTAAGATGTACCTTGAAAGCATTCCAGAGCCTTGCCATCTAAAGCAGGCTGTTCCTCTAGCACGGGGATAGGTGCCAGGGTGTTGGAGTGGGGGTGGGGGGAGTGCACATCTCCTGGTTAGAGATCAGCACTGTGCCTTTCCACTATTACTGTATCATTCTGGGTCGACAAGTCCCAATTCTGTCACCTCATTTCTATGGTTTTTAGACAGAAGTCACCCAATAAAATGTTATGGCATTGAGTTCGACATGGACTAGGGGAAGCAGCTGGGTTTCCATAGGTTACTTTGGTCTTCTCATTAAGCCTCAGTCCCTCCATCTGCAAGTCAAGAGGGTTAACTGGCCTGGGGAGTGGGTCACTTCTGCCTCCTACCTATAATGGCGGTGGGCTTCACCAGTCTCACCACCTCCTCCAGGGACTTCACTTCAGGATGGTCTTGAGCAAACAGCTCCTTTTCATGGTTCAGGTGGCTCCTCCCCTGTAGGAAAAAAAAGAAATATGAAGCACCTGTGGTGCAGAGGGCCTACTGAGCAAGACTGATGCATTGGGAATTTCTGACAGTTTTCCCTAATGAGACTTATGTGTTGATTTGAGCCATCAGAAGTGTTGAGACCCATGCCCTTGATCAAATTTCCCAGTAGAACCTAAGGTGGAACTGAAGTGAGTGTGCACACGTACACACACACACACATACACACACACACACACACACACACACACACGTGTGTGTGTTTCTTGAACCTGAGCCACAAGAGAATCTAGGAATTATTTTTAAAAACTAATGCTTTTTTGATTCCCCTACCTCCCTTCATGTCCTCTATTATGTTTTTTAAAATGCCTTTGAGCCTCATTTGTATTCCCCACATACTCTTGGTCGTGGAGCCATTCCCTGGAGCATGGTCAATCTAACCAGCGTTGCACCCTTAATGAAAACCTTCCTCTCTCAGAAGCTACCAGTTGCCAATAGTTCTTCAGCTAGGGCTGGGGTTGCTTCTGCCCATGTCCCCTCCACGCTGAGATTTTTGTCTGGCTTGGGCTTGCACAGGTCTTGTGCATGCTGTCACAAACATCGTGGGTTTGTATGTTAACCTGCCTGCTGCATCCGGACAACATGTTTCCCTTGTATTTATCTTCTACCACCGGCTCTTACAATTTTGTCACCCCCTTTTCTGTAATAATCTCTTAGTCTTGGGAGGAGTGGGTATGATGCAAGCATCCATTTAAGGCTGAGCATAAATCAAAGCATAAACCATAAATCACAGTGCATAGAACATTTTTTGAGCTGTTGTGGTCATGGCTTCCTCAGCGTGGACAGAAAGGCCCTTAGGAAATTCCTTAGTCTTGTCAAGTCCCTTGACCACAAGATGTGCAGTCCACAGGCCCAGGTGAAGTGCAGGGGCTTGAGCCTTCTAGGGTCCGTGAGCTAATGTGAATATATTTAGTAATATTCACTGACCTTCTAGTGAGTAACACTGAGCTGAGCTCTAGGATAAGCTTCAAATAGCTGTCTGTTCATGACCAGCTCCAGATTTTTTCCATTTCCTCAAGGAGAAGTCCCTGAGTGATGGGCTGGCAGGAGTGCTGGTAAATGAGCACAATCATTTATTTTTTCTTTCTGAAAATTCTATTTTTGTGTGTGTATGAGTGTTTTATCTGCATGTATGTAGGTGTACCATATGTGTACAGTGTCTTCAGAGGCCAGAGGAGGGCATCAAGTCCCCTGGAACTAGAGTTACAGATGATTGTTAACTGCTCTATGGGTGCTGGGAAGCAAACCTGGGTCCTCTGCAAGAGCAACCTGTGCTCTTAACTGCTGAGTCATCACTCCAGCCCCAGAATACAACAATTTTTGATGACTCCTGCTGGCCTCCCGAGTACCAGAGTCAAGATGTTGGCCCTATAGCTTCTTGGTTATAGATGAGCTCCTTGGGTGAGCAAAACGATGTTGGAAAATGAGCAAGAAGGAAGAGTCATCAGGTTTTGGTAACCTATACCTACGAGCAGATTATTCTCTTGAATGAGGTGGGAAGATGAATCTCTAGGCCCAAGTTCCTTTCAGCAGAAATATGGCTCCATATAGAGGAAGAGGAAGGCCAGCTTCTGCTAAGGTCTTTGCTGTTTTTGGTGCATGACCCCATATGCTTTTGAATCCCCATTTACGCTATCATGTTAACTCTCCCACTGACATCTTATGTTAATGGAATTCTGAAAGATCATAGCACGGAGCTCTCAGTGACGTCCTAGGGGAAGGGCCATCCCAGTTGTGCCCCTCACTATTCTCAGCAGAAGTTGAGCTTTTCTTATTCATTCATCATTTCACTCACACCTAACATATTACGCACTTACATGTGCTAGGCATTGGCATCAAGACTAGTTGAGTAGAGAGACATACAAGTCAAAGCATAACCGCTCTACAAAGTGGTAGGTGCAGCGTAGGGGAGGGCACGCAGCTATGAAAATTAATTGAGATCTAGATGCTCTGAGAAAGCTTCTTGGAAGAGGTAACATGCAAGCTCAGTCGGAAGGTAAGGACTGGAATCTGGGAATCAGTTGAAGATTGAGATGGGTTAGTGGAAAAAGGCAGAACACTTGAGGCAGAACAAAATGTGCAAAGATGTGGGAGAGTGAAAGATGTGACTTTTGGAGAACTATGATTCAATATGGCTGGAAGTTAACACAAGGCAGGAAGTAGTGTTCAGATGTTTTACACACACACACACACACACAAGCACACACACACACACACACACAGAGCTTTTGGACAAGAGTAATTGAGGCTTCAGCCATTGCCGTCGTTTTACTTTCCATTCTAAGTACTTTGCCCAACAGAGAACTCATTCTATTCAGTTCTTAGCAACTCTATGTGTCAGGATAGCTCTAGAACTCCAGGCCAACAATACCTTGACGATCAGACCTTTGGAATCCACCATCCAGATCTTCCTTGTGGCCTCTGCCTTGGGTATGCCTTCCTTTTCTAGGGCCATGACAAGGAGGTGGGCAATGCCCATGGCTGCCTGGGAGGTACCACAGGGAGGATGTTTAGTCACAAAGCAAACAGTAGCTCAGCACATACCAGAGGCTTCACCAAAACAAGCCCCTCTTCTTTTCCTTAGCCCTACAACCCAAGGAGGCACAGTTTAACCCTTGTTTTGAGAAACTCAGATGTTGATGCTGAGGAAATTGCAATGGTCAGAATTCCATGTGAACTACTTCCTCTTCCCAGAGCCCCAGAACTCCTCCCTTCTTTAATACTTCTCTATCCAGTCTTATTCTTCTATTGGGAGAGAGGTAGGGACCCTCTCACAGCACGTACCTCACCTGCACCCTGGAAAACAAACACATGATTGGAGAGCCTGTTCTTGGTGATTCTCAGAGCAGCCAGGATCCCTGCCACAGCGACAGAGGCTGTGCCTGCAACAGAGTGGACTGCATCAACCTTTGGTTTCTAGCCCGCAACCCACAAGTAAAGACCTGTGACAGAGTTCCCAACATCTAGGACCTGTAGGAAAGAAGCAACTTTTCTTAGCCCTTATAAAAGTCTAATCTGCAGGCATGCAGGTTTTAGAGAAAATCTGTGCCTCCCTTCCGCTCCCCTCTCCCCTCACTTTAAATATCTATTCCTCTTAGGAACAGTCCTTGGAATTGTCGATCTTCTCTGGGAGAGATAATCATCTAGCCAGGCGCTGCTACTGCCCTTATTCATAAATGTAGTAATGGGATAAATGTAATTTAATAGATGCCCAAAAAGTATGATTCCCATAAAATTACCCATTTAAGGGATAAAGACATATTTTAAAAAGAGGCATGAAGGAACCACGAGATACTAAATGACTAGGTACAGAACACATGGGTCTTTCACCACTTTATCCGATAACCCATTCACGTAATTTTTGTTTCCTGTGTCTTCAACTCTGTGCCCAGCTGGGTTAGAGTCCTTAATTCCCGAACAGAAATGCTTCCATTGGGAATCATAGCATGCTTCCATTGAATTGGGACTTGAGACTGCCCTCGGGATTCTCTATGCACTAAAGAAGTGTTGCCTTTTTGGCTATATGGCTTGATCCTGATAACCAAGAGGAAATTGGGTGTCAGAGCATACTGGGAGCCAAGGCATCATCTGGGGGTGTCTTAATACTTCCACATTCAGTAGTAAATATTAATGAATATGATGACAACCAAAGATAGGCAGGACTACTGAGGATCCAGGGCCTTCACAAATGAAGGATTGGGTCCTCCTATCCTGGGAGGAACCACGGCCTGCAGAAGTCCTGTTTGAGGACAAGAAAACATGGAATAGAAGGTTGAGGAAGAATTTTATGGGCACCAGTGATCTTATGACTGGCTAAAGAAGCAAGCAACCAGCCGTGTATGCTTCTTTTTTGACTCTATGGCTATGGATGATGGATTACATTAGCTAATTCCCTCTCCCTTCTCTTTCCCTTTATATGTATATTTGGAAGTTAATGCTACACTCTCATCTTTGAGTAGCAGAATTTTCAACTGTGACTGTGTTGTAAGGGCAGTTATTTCTTCCCAGAGATGGATAGTGTGACTCTCTTGCAGTGATGGATAAGTTAGTGTTGAGACTCTGTCTCTTCTCATTTGGGGGAGAAGGTGAGAATGTCTTCCTTTGTTGGAGACAGGTCCATGCTGTTAGAGTTGATTTTGTTGTCTGGAAACATGTGGAATTATGTGCAAGGATACTGAATAGCCAAGATGAACTGTACCAATGAACAAGTCACTTTCTTCCCTCCTAATCCACCCTTTACATAGTTTGATCTGCAAACCTCCAAGAGGCTCTATGCTGAGATCTGCCGAAGGAGGCAATGCAGAGTAACTAACTGAAAGGCTAGCTGAAGAAGGAATTCTTCTTTTCAGCATTGCCTGAGTCTTATGACATTGCAGGTAAAATGTAGGACATTTAATACAAATAGAATTTTAGATAAACAAAATTATTTTTTTGCATAACTATGTTCCATTCAACACTAATATATTTTTTGAAAGTATTCAGTTCATGTTGGAATTTAACAGTGTGCCCTGAGTTTTGCTTTTGATCTATCGAGTAACCCCACAGCCTTGAATCACCACCTCCACAGTGGCAGTTGGCAGTTGAAGCCCGTGCGCAACTCATCGGTCCGTCATTTAGAGCACTAACCTCACAGCCGGCCCATCAACACGCCAGGCGGCTGCCTCCTCTCCTTTGTTTCTTGGCCTCAGGGGATGGTAGCAGAGTCATTGTGTTTCTTTTCTGCTTTTCAATTCTCTAATACACAATTCACAATTCTTTGTATTAAGTGCACTCTGTCTAAGCAGCTGGTACAGACCCTGACTGACACCAAGAGCCCACAGTAAAAATGTAATCACAGTTGTCTGTTATGGTCAAAGAAAAAAAAGGAAAAGAAATTAAAGTGGGACTGTGGTATGGGCGTGTGGGTTTCACGGAGCGCCAGCTGCTGGACGTGGCACCGGTCTCCCTCGCACGCTGGGGGGACGTGGGGTGGGTCGCGCACCAAGTCTGCTGAGACTTTCCGCTACTGGGCCTGTAGGCTCTCGAGGACCGCTGTCAGCTACCCGGTGGGTTCCGTCCCAATCTACCGAGCACTCCCTCTGTGTTTGAACGAGGGGAGGTGCGGGACAGCGAAAGCAGGGTCTTCGTGAGTGGATGACGGAAGGATAGCTCCCCTCCGGGGAGACTGGATCACAGGATTTAGTGTTACAGCTTCAGACAAGTGACTTAGCTCAGATCTCAGTGATTCAGCTCCAGCTTTACTGGGGTAAAACTAGGATTATTTATAGTGTGGAGACAGTAGAAAAAGCCTTAGCTGATAGGTGCTCCTGGAATGCTTCATTTACATAGGGCTGTGGGCTTCTATCAGGCTATCAGACAATGCCTGATTAAAGCCTGGTAGCTTCTGTGCTGGAGGGCATGTATCTGTGACAGGCATTTCAAAAGTAAGTCAGGGAGGAGAGCAGAAGGCGCCCCGCTGAGAAGGGGAGTCTCCCCATTTGCGCTGAGCTGGCTTGCGGCTATCCGGACATGGGGAGACTGCTACCCTAAACAGCAGGGGTCCCCAACACTGTGGGACTATTATGGCTATGAAAACGATGTTATCTAGGGCCAGTGAAGGAGCGATGAAAAGTAAGAGGCTTCAGCACTTTTCACCTTATCCGGCTACATTTTTTTTTAAAGAAGAAAACTATTTCCCCCATAGAAGTCCAATTTATAAAATGTTTTTGCCCTTTGACCTCATACTTCTCCTTCTGGAAATCTATGTATGGAAAAATCTGAAATTCTGAAATACATGTACCAGAACATCTGAGATAGTGTTACTTACAGTATAGGACTTGAAAGAATGGAAACATCTAGCATGGGCATAATGGTGAAGTAAACTGGTTAGTGCAGGCATTCAGCAGAAGATTTGCAGACACTAAAAATGCTTGTTAGTGCCTGGCGCGGTGGCGCACGCCTTTAATCCCAGCACTTGGGAGGTGGAGGCAGGTGGATGTCTGTGAGACTGAGACCAGCCTGGTTTACTCAGGGAGTTCCAGGACAGCTGTGGCTACAGGGAGATCTTGTCTCAAAAACAAGCAAACAAACAAAAAGAAAAACAAAAGCTCATTATGTGGCTAGGGAAATGGCTCAGTGTGTAAACCACTTGAGGTTCAAGCATGAGGACGTGAGTTTCTGTCCTGAGCGCACACATGAAAGCTGGGCATGGTGGTGTGGGCTAGTAACCCCAGTGCTTAAGGACAGAGCCAGGAGGATCCCAGAGACTTACTGGTCAGCCAGTGTAGCTGAAATGGTGAACTCCAGGTTCAGCAAGAGACCTGTCTCAAAAAATAGATGGAAGCAATAGAGAAAGACACCCAGTGTCAACCTCTGGCCTACATACATGTATACATGGAGCACACACCTGCACACACATATGCACAGACCTTCATTTGTTATGAAGATTATATCATAACATAGAAAATGCTATCAGTAAGTAACTAACATCAGATATTTTTCTAAGTGCCTTATATGTATAAAGATATTTATTTATTTAATCCTCCTTATTATTCTCATTTTACAGACCAGGGAAATGAGATACAGAGCAGATCACATAACAAACAAGATTTGAACCCAAGAAATCAGGACCTAGGGCCTGTACTCTTAATGACTAACTTTTGCTTCATCAAGCCTGCTATAAAGAAAGCCTGAAAGAGCCTATATACCATGATCCTAATCATAATAACCCCCCACAGAAAACCCAGAGAGAGCCACAAAATACTCATGGTTGCAGGGTAGGGTATGAGAGAATCTCCGTGAGGGAATTTTCAACCTCCTTTTACGACTTCATGCATCCTTTGACCAGAGGTAAAAGTTATTTAAGATTCTCTAAACAGGCCAGTCACTTAAAAATAAAACACAACAAAACATTTTTGTGTATATGTGGTGTGTGTGTGTGTGTGTGTGTGTGTGTGTATCTGTGTGTACATGCACGTGGAAGCCAGGGTTGATGTCAAGTGTCTTCCTTCATCTCTCTCCACATTACATGCTGAGGCAAGGTCTCTCACGGAACCCAAAGAGAGCCTTCTTGGCTGGTCTAGTCAGCTGGCTGTGGGGATCCCTTTTCTCTGCCTCCCTATGGCTAGAATTGCCGGTGGGCCATCTTGCCTGCCCAGCATTGACTTGAGTCTCAGGGATCTGAGCTCTAGTTCTCACATTTGTTCTACTCACTGAGCTCCCCCCTCACATGATTTGTGTTTACAAGTTACTGTGTAGATTGCAGGAAACAAAAACACAAGAAACAAGAAGAAAGGCATCCAGTCCCAAGCAGTTAAGTTGGATGCATCCTTCTGGGCCCTGTGTGTACACAGCGTTCCATTTTAAGTAACTGGGAATGTACTGTATATGTCATGCTTTTCTGCACAGTATGGCTATTGAAAACTCTAAACCACATATTTTGATAAACAAGAATACATACATCAATTCAATCTTTTAGAAAAAAACATTCCCCCTTTCTTGGGGTCAAAAATGTTGATAGAATGGCCCAATTGCAGAGAATCGCACTATCAGTCAGCCACTTCCCTCCCTCCTGGGGGACTGTTTGTTGAGACAGCCTGTTTCCCAAGACAGCCTGTCTTCTTGAGCAAATGGTCCCAAGAAGAGATCATAAACCCTCTGTCTCTCCAAATAAACCAGAGCAAACGGTGCCAGGAAGAAGGGGGCCACAAGGGGCCCATAAACATCTCAAGAGTTTCCCTGATCTGCACATAGTTAGCTATCCACAGCTACATCCAATATAAGCCCAACGGCACCTCCCTCTGGGGCAGCAGTCACCTCCAGTGTGTGAAAGGCTGCTGTCCCTCACTGAGGTGCTTCAATAAACTCAGTCTTGCCTGAGGTTAGGTATGGTCTCCTGCTTTCT